TGAAAAAAAATAGACGACTTTGTTGCATTTTTAGATGGTTTTGTCATAGACGTTTTTGTTATTTCATTAGACAATTTTGTCAATTTTATAGACGTTTTTGTAAGCATCCTTTCAATATTCTACATTGTTTAAATGTTTGAACGAGAACCGCTGTAAGAGGGCGATAGAAATTTAATAGAAAAACACTGACATTCAAGGAGCACGAGTAGGTGAAAAATATGTAATACAAGTCTTCTGTGAATGAATTCCTAATTCAGAGACACCATGAATTTGTGTTGGGTATGTTCCAATTGGGATTGTTCGATACAAGAGTGAGAGGTGGAGAGAGCGAAAGAGAAATAGACGTGGCGGTTGTTTTGAAGATACAATCAATTCAACTTCCATAATTAGTGCTGGATGAAAGCCTTAATTTTGCACTAATTAAGTCAATTGAATGATCGTATCCCAAATAATCATGGGAAATTGTATGAAAAACGTATAAATTAAACATTGGAACTAGGTCATATTGTGCGCAAAACTAAAGACCGCATACAAAATGGTGTTATCACTTCGATGCCGGTGTTCTTAAGCACAGTTGATTTGATCAACAGCCCGCATGAAATTGAGTTCATCGTTTTTGATAAAGGGAGTGTGGTAAGTTGAGAGAGAAAATCGTGTCGCAAGAAGCAAGGTGAGAATAATTTGAATCAGCGGATATTTTATCAGTTTGCATGTGAAACGATTACAAAACAAACATTTTGACCATAAAACGTAGCGAATAGTAGCATAAAAAAAGGAATAAAACAAACCATTTTTTTAGCAACAACCAAAAAAGCCAATGGATAGTAGATTCAATAAACAATTATGCAGCCGAAAATGTTTGACTTTCTTGTTTCATCTGAACTAGACTTTCGGGATTTTTAACCGACAACTGAGGCTGTGAGAATGAAAATGGCAATACAGGAATAAACATTCTGAAGCGCATCAAGGAAAAAAAATTCGCAAAAGTGAATCATGAGTTCTGAATACGCAAAAGTGAACCATGAACCTCCTATGCTGCCCATGTAAATTTTTGTTCCACTTTTGCATATTCAGAACTCATGATTCATTTTTGCGAATTTTTTTTGTTGATGCGTTTCAGAATGTTTATTCCTGTATTGCCATTTTCACTCTCACAGCCTCAACTCAACAAAACTTTCTTCTGTTCCATTTCACTTTTAACGCTATGCACAGACAAACACACGAAAAGGGAGAGAAAGCAAACAAACCACTTACAAAATGCATAATTGCGCTCTAACAACTTAAACCAATGTTATACAACTTTAACTCAAAGAAATTTATTTACTGTTAACAAGTCCAATTACCAATGGCTGAATTTATTGGATAAATTCCAGTGCAAAAAAAAGAAATATTTAAAACCAAAACATGGAAAAACAAGAATTTTTTTAGACAAATTTAATAGAAAAAAAAGCAATGGAAATTAAATATTTAAAAAACAAAACCTCATATTAGATTATTAATAGATATTTAATGAAAAAAAAATACATTAAAGGAATGAACAACCAAAAATCGAATCAAAGCTGTTTGTTTCGTTGTGAATGACGTGAACGCAATGCGTGCCAAGTGCTATTGACCAACTGGAATTCGTATACGTAGCATACATGAAAAGTGATTCCGTTCTCAAATTTAATTGCAACATTCGGTTTGTATGCAGGAAATAATTCCTGCGAGAACGAGATTCCAATAAGCTGTCGACAAGCATCCAATTCCTAGGGGCATTTCTCACACAGAAAATTTGAGCAAATGTGCAAAAATGTCTATTATTTCTTCTTTTTTATTGAAATTGTAAGAAAATGTACTGAAATGACGATATTGCTTGAATAAAAGTGTTCTGGAAGTAGGTTTTAGTGGATCTCAAGGATCGTTTAGAACTGCTCCCGATTCTGGAAGTGGGTTTTGGTGGATCCTCAGGATGGACCAGATCCGGTTTGACAATGCCCTGGCCCATCCTGAAGATCCACTTCCAGAACCGGGAGCAGTTCTGAACAATCCTTGAGATCCACCAAAACCCACTTCCAGAACACAAGTTCAGTGTAAATGAACATTTATTTACACGAATTGATAAAAATTGATCGAATCGGACCAAACGGAAGAAATTTTTCAAAATTTATAAGAATTCATTCATTCTTTTCGTGAGAAATGCCCCTAGTCCAATTCAAACAGCATATCGTTCGTGTGCAATTTTCTTTTTATCATCGAAACCAATCGATATACTGTTATTCAACATTCGCAAAATTCCACTTTATTGCTGGAGCGTGTGTTGCGTATGTTCCAACCGATAGAAATTCAGCGGCGGTGTTCGAATGATGCATCCAAAATGGACAGACATACCACACACCCACACACAGAAAGAGAGAGAGAGTGTGTACTCTCATCTGCACCTCGAAAGTGCTCTTCTCCAAAAATTCGGAAAAATTCCCAGAAAAAAACGCACCGTTTGTAAACAGGGAACCATTGCAGCTCATTTGTGATTTAAATCACTCTACTTTACCTTTCAATCTGGGTATGAACGGACACAGCTTTACCATTGCTCTCTTTGTCGTGCCGTGTCGCTCACTCACTGTGAGGGTGACTCACAATCTCTCTCTCTCTCTCCATTTTTTGCTCATATATTTTTGCTTTTAAAGGCGCCGCATTGAGCCAGCCGAGCACACACAACTGGCACATCATATTTACCAAAGTAAAATCTTTCGACGTACCTTGTGTACATGGACGATGGATAAAATGAGCCGTAAATTATTATGCGTCAAATTTATGATGTCAGATGTTCATTTCCCGCGACAATGAGTAGCAGTGACTATGGTGGCGGCGGCGGCGGTGAACTTCATTCGTGGCATTCTGTGCCTTCAATTACAAATTTTCGTCAATTATCTCTGGGCGATACACATGCAAATCTGGATAATAATCCAACAGATTTGCAATCCACCCATTTAAAAAGTCACTGTATTTCACTTGCGACCAATCCACGAAAGATTGAATTTCCATTTGAACGCTGTTATTGGTTGCCATTTTCTTTTTTCTTCGGTTGAACATCAAAATGACGAATATAATTTTTATAAAATGAACTGTGACATTAACAGGTACAATATTATGATCGGCTCACTCATACAGCCAATTAGAGATTTCATTAATCTTCTCTCACTGGTTTATTAACGGTTTATATAATGGATGTTTTCTCCTCAAAATAGGTCCTGCTTGGCCGCACTGCGTTTTTTCCGCGTCATTTACAAAAACAAAATGCATTGCCATTGTTCTTCAGGAATAAAATATGATGACGATGAAGCGTAAGAATGCATTTAGTTTTGACGTTTGTTTTTGCATTCAACAATAATGACGAGCTAATTAATATTTTATGAATGAATTATTCGTGCAACCAGGTAACTATTTCACCCTAGGGGTTTCACGCAAACTCGAAGGCCGAAGATTTTACTAAATAGCTGGGAATAAAACCATTTTATGTGTAAACTATAGATATTGCTTCTTTTTATTCATAATCTCGAATTTTTTAGAATTTTTTGAATCTAAAAATTCTAGAAGTGGGTTTTGGTGGATCCTCAGGATTGTTCAAAACCGCTCCTGGTTCTGGAAGTGGATCCTCAGGATGGACCAGGGCATTGTCAAACCCAGTCTGATCCATCCTGAAGATCCACCAAAACCCACTTCCAGAACCGGGAGCAGTTTTGAACGATCCTGAGGATCCACCAAAACCCACTTCCAGAACATAATTTTCAAGGTGAATGTTGAAATATTTCGAAATAATACGGATTTTGGTGAATCCCAGAGAATTTTAGAGAAAAGAGAGAAATATTGAAATTTTAGATGAATTTTAAGTTGCGTGAAACCCCTAGATTTCACCTTTGCAATGATATTTGGCCATGTTATTGTAGTTCTATTTTTTGGACATAATGTTCGAAGATGAAAGTAAAAATGGGGACAATTTTGCATATTCGAAAGAATGCGCCCGACAATGTGCAAGAAAAAAGTTACCTGGACGACCTCCGAAAAAAAGAAGTTACATAGCAACACTTTTATTGGCTTAGTGAAAATTTTGTAGAGTCGAACTGATTTAATTAGCACAATGCTGTCCATTTACAGTTGTTAGTAATAAGTGAAGAAAAAGAAAACAATTTTCTGATTTTTTTTTGTCTGAAGCACAAGTCATGAATTAAAATGCAAACTGCCGCGCGCTTCGTTGTTAACTCAACTATCAGAAGATCACATTCATTTATAGATTTAAAAAAAAAGAGAAACACAAACGCGTCTTCATAGAAATAACAAATTGTATCGCAACGAGTTCATTCAGCCAGCATGTTTTCAAGTGAATTTTAAAAACGGTTTAAAACGCGTCATTCACAAGAAAATCAGGATATGAAAATATTGAACAACAGAATAATATTAATAATATTTTTTTATTAACGAAACTTTTAAAATAAAAACACACACACACAAAAACGGCCATTTCAATTTCACATTTTCTCAAATAAAACGAAAAAAAAACAATTGTTGCATATCGTAAAAAGAAATGTTTATCGCCATTGAAATTACGCCATTTGTCTTGATAAAAATGTATCGGATATATTAATTTATGCCATTAAAATAACATACATTAAATCAATACCCAAATAATCGTACGATGCGACAGGCGTACCACAGTTATTTTTTTTCTCCCTGGGTTCTTAAAACATTTTAACATTCTGCGAATAAAACTGAACATTAAATAATACTTATGAAAATTACTACCAAAAACAACAACAAGAACTTAATGAGAATTACACATTGCAGATAATAACAGAAAAAAAACAACACACGTTCAATGGAGAGAAACAATTTCTAGCAAATTTAGCAAAAACAAAAGCAAATTATTTAAGATTGAGAGCCATGGCCATGGACATGAAAAATCAGGTGACACACCGCGGTTTGATGTGCTATCCATTGACCGTTACCAGAGCGCTGATTTCATAATATTTCCAATTTGTATGTACATAAATTTTGTAAATAAAATTCGTAGAGCAAACAAAATAAAAAAAAAACAACCAAATGATGATGATGATGATTTTAAATCAAAAGAAAAACGGTTTTCAGTGACTACAACTACTGAGCGACTTACCATTTATGATTAAACTTACTCTAAGATGTAAAAACAACAAAAAAAAAAAATAAATAAATAAAAAAAAAATCCTTTGACTGTTTTTTTCTTTCCTTCTTTCTATTTCGAAATTTATTTGAAAATTCGAATCACAAACGATTTCAATTTATGCACTTTTTTACTCTCGACCCATTCCGATGGATGCGCCTGGTACATGATGTAGATGATTGGACGCCAATGAATATGTTTTCACCTGTGTGTGTACCCGCATGACTACAATTATACACATTTATGAAATATTCATTCTATTCGATCCGTTCTTTAAATTTCTGTGAATAAAATCAAACACCTTGAGTGAAGTCAATTCTTTGGAGTATTATCCACACAAATTGCATTTGTCAATGGAATGTTGATAATGATTGTGTTTGATATGTTGATTTAATGCCTCTTCATTTGGCGATTTATGTCTTATTAGATGCTGTTGAAGTGTATACTTATTTGATTAAAAAAAAGCGTTACATATTGACATTTTGTACAATCTGATGAATGAACTCGTTCTATATGAATTTTGAGCTCGGCCTTCGTTCAATGTGCCTTGACAATGAATTCCCAGATTCAATTAGTTCCATCAATCATATGATAACCAATATTGGCAGTATGTTTTTCTTCTGAGTGGATTCGCTCTACATGTGACTATTTCGGCCCTTCGGTTGTGAACCTTAAAAGGTAAACAATGGCATTATTTAAGGTCCAATTATCGTGGCACACGATTGCATTTGTAGCAACGATGAGGTGAGAAAAATAAAACATGAAAAATGAAAATAAATATGTTACTTGGTCGGGGTTTAAGTAGAACAGCAGATGTTCATCAACTCGTTTGATTATCTTGAAAACTATTCCACAACACTGAATGGATTTATTATGTGGAAAGTGCATTTTTTCATGCTGCAGCAAATGTGACATTTTTACATTCGCTATGGCTGCATGACCTGCATCGAAGTACTTAGCTGGATCTGACCGATTATCGTCAGTAGGTTCTGGAACCCGTTCAGATTTGGTTATTGCTTGTGATGTGAGATCGTTTGATGCAAAGTTCCATGGTCATTGTTACAGGTGTAATCAAAATTTACGCCGATCGAATGTGAGTCATGGATTTCATTGACTTTGTCACCATCATTATTTCCATGATAAACTAGAATAATACATTCAATTCGGAACAATTATTAAATTCATCGAATATTATGTATGGAAGATTCTATACATTTTCCCAAACCTACTTGACAACGAGTCAACAAAATCGATGTTAATTTCTTCCGTTTCCAACTCTGGAAATCCATTTTTAACATCTGGGTATGATTCATACTTTCATTCGTATCGACTTCGGTGTCATTGAATTCGTTTTTCATATAATTCGATTGGGCGTTTTGTACCGAACGGAGCCCGTCTCCGTCTCTCTCCAGCACTCAGGGTGAATATAGTTGAGTAAGAGATCATGATGCTTTATCTACATGGTTTAGAAATAATTTTAAAAGAAGAAAAATTGTAAGTAATTTTAACTTAAAATTCCTGTTCAGGTGCATATTACCAATGTGCCCGCTTACGACCGAGTCAATGAACAAACTGCATTCTGAGCTATCAAATACACTAATATGAATTTTGCCGCTCTTCAAACACAGCCGAAACTAATGTGCATCCATCAAAAGATTGTCTCTATAATATTCATTCGATTTTTTACTTGAACTATCTGCAAACTGTTTTGTATATACTATTACTTTTAGCGAACTGTCAAATGGTACGGAGTTTCTGAAGTAACAGAAATGTACGAGCATGCGTATCGATGCGTTAATAACGCATTGCGTTGAGCCGGTTCTTTTTGAACAAAAAAGAAATCCGATTGAAGATAATTTTTTCAAGCAATTTTGAATATCAACCAAAAAAGTATTTGTAAGGATAAAACGGCTGATTTCTACTCATCAAATTCATTTATTTCATTTTCCGTAATGTTCGGAATGAATTTCGCAGAGCAACAAAACAACATAAAACAAAACGATATACAAATTTAGTCTTTCTTTAGAAAATTTAGTCTGATCACGGAGGACGATAGTCCAACAAGTGACGCTCCAACAACTGTGCATTTCAAGCCAAATATCAAAAATGCCAGTTTTTGCGTCACGAGTAAATATGCTATTTTCTCGGGACACTATTTGGGCCTCGGCATGTTGGGTACCGTTGGAAAGGTCTTGGTCTAAATAGTCGGAAATACCATATCCCTCATGCCTAAAGTGAGTTCTATGCAAAAATATAGCGGTTGGAAAATTTCGATAAATTTTCAAATCTATACCCATATCTTACGAAGGGGATACCCAAGGTGTGGTCTGAGGTGTTCAAGAGAAGCTTCTCCTCGCCACCTTTCCAACGCCGGTCTGAGTGCCCCGATTGGTTCGAAATCAAAAAAGTTATGGGCATCGGTAGTTTGATTTTGATTTTTTAAGTATTGATTTGTGCGTCCGTTCGTCCGTTCGTCCGTTCGTTCGTCTGTCCGGAAATTTTTTTGACCCCCACAGATTCCGGTGCCGATATGCCTAAGCTGTAGCTGGTGTCAGGCCACATGGAAACCCGTCCTCAGATTGACATTTGCATTACAGGAGAGCTGGCTATGGCTTCACTAGCCTGCATGTTTACGATTTTTTCAAGTATTTATTTCCCACACTAGATCAACTCAGACACCCATCGGGCAAAGTCAGCTCGTAATTGTTTGAGAAGACCTTCAAAAAGTTCCATACACACATGCCAATGTTTATGTGATATAAAAGAAAAAAGTCGATTTTTATGAAAAATCGACCCCCTTAAATTTCACACCAAACTCGATTTCTCAAAAATCAGCCCGACAATCTTTTACCAAAAACTGAGCGTTTGTAGCCGGCCACCATACCAACAAAATGGCATATGCCACATATCCGGGAAAATTCGTATTTCGAAGTTCTGGGCATAGGCAATTCATCAACGAACGGAATTTGTACGAAAATTCGCATTCTACAATGAAATTGCTGCCAAAAATACGCATCTACTGGCTGAAAAAGGCTCACAAAAGACCATATCCGCTCAATTTTCGACGAGCAATCGATTAAAAGTGGTCACAATGCGATCTGAGGGCATTTCATGGTCGAAAAATAGGTCGGATTGAAGTGAATTTTTCAACTTGCTCTATTTTCACTGAAAATAACATTTTTGTTCGGAAAACACGTGAAATAGACCTCTGACGACATTTTGGTCTTAGAAAACTGTGTTTTTTCGTGAAAATAATGAGAGTCCACGAACACTTGAATATCCATTTCGTTGTCATTTAGGTCATAAATCGGCATTTTGGCATCTGAATGTATGAAATTGAACTTTTGCTCGGGGGATACATGAAAAATGCACTTTCCAGAGCTTTGGTGGTTGGGAACTAATATTTTTTAATGAAATAATGAGAATCCACAATCGTTTCAACACTCTTTTTATGGTTATTTTGAAATTTAATCATATTTTACCGCATTTTATAATGTGCAATTAGAGGAAATTGGGACTTTTTCAATGGTAGTGGAAATTAGATAGTGCAATCTCCAGAACTTGTGAAATTAGAATGCAAATGTGTTACCCAGAAAATTGCAATTTCCTGATAATAAGACCTGAAAATAGACATACTTCTGGTAAAAATGTATTTTTCCAAAAAAAAAGCCTTACAAAAGTAGTGATATCCATCCGTATGAAAACCAATACACTTTTTGTGCATGCTACTACTTCTTCTTGTTCACACTATCGTTCACATAATCGTGCACAATGGAAGCGGCCATATTGAATATTTATAGTGTATTGTCATTATTTCTTCCAATATGGGGACTTACAGTTTGTGTTAAGAAGAAGAAGTAGTACCATTCCTCAGTTTGCATACGGACGGTGATATTAGATGAAAAACCTCTAGACGAGGTTGAAATGGAGTGACGCTCCGTGCGTGGATTTACCACTCAAAATGACTGATATCATTTTGAGTGACGCTGGGACGCTGTATTACTGGGAACGAAGTTCAAAAGTGTTTTTCGCATTCACTATTGTGAAAATTTATTTACAATAGGGAAAAATATCGCGTCACGACTTTTGAATTTTGTCTTCAAGTCAAGCTTCAAAGCGTTTTGCCGTCCAAAAGTCGTGACGCGATATTTTTCCTTATTTTAAATAAATTTTCACAATAATGAATGCGAAAAACACTTTTGAACTTCGTTCTCGGACAGTATACAAACGACTCCGGACAGTATGAACAGTGAACACGAAAGTACAAGTAAACCTCGCGTGCCATCATTGTATTGGTTTTACATTGAAACGCGCTGCACGCACCTTAACATTCATAATACATACAAATTTAATGTGGGTGGAGGCGCCCTATGAAAAATGGCACAGATTGCTCAAGCTACGGTTAACTCGTACTTTTTTTCATCACTCACAAATACCGATGCAAATAATTATCCGTATCGGTGAAAGTGTTCGATTATAAGGATCGCAGTTACGGATATAAATCTTTATCCGCACAATATAAGGTTTCAGCATTACAATGAACTTTTGTATTATAATCACCTTATAAAGCAAAACAGAATAAAGTGAAAAGTCGTTTACAAGGTGTTTGGTTCTTGGGCTGTAACCGGAATCACAGTGTGTGTGTGGATTGCATTAAATAAACCGCCATCTATGTCATGATGCTTTTGTTCGTATAAGTCCATATGCATTCAATTTGAATGCTCAAAAAACGTTCAAAACCATTAGACAGTGGCAAGATTTTATTTGGTGCCTTCAGAATTTCAAATTTTGAAATATTCTCTGAAACAGAAGAAAAATGGAGCTACGGACTATATGATTCCATGTGTTGTTCCTTACTTCCTTAGTCTTATTCTATGTGTACTTTGCTTAAATCGTCAACAAAACGCATGGAGTATTTCTCTGTTTTGCTTTATAAGGTGATTATAATACAAAAGTTCGTTATAATTCTGAAACTTTATATTGTGCGGATAAAGATTTATATCCGTAACTGCGATCCTTATAATCGAACACTTTCACCGATACGGATAATTATTTGCATTGGTATTTGTGAGTGATGAAAAAAAGTACGAGTTAACCGTAGCACGAGCTACGCACGCGGGGTTTACTTGTACTTTCACAAATAAACAAAATTATTTGTCCCCGAACGGTCAATATTTCTAATCTGTGGAAGTGATGACAGTGACCCTCAGATATGTTCCTAGAAAATATTTTATGCATTCATGTTTCACACAAATAATATGAATAAGAATCTGAAGAAAGTATGAATAAATGGCAAGTAATTTGTGAATTTTGCAATTTGCTCTATTTTCACTGAAAATGACATTTTTGTTTGGAAAACACGTGAAATAGACCTCTGACGACATTTTGGTCTTAGAAAACTGTTATTTTTGTGAAAATAATGTCCACGAACACATGATGGGGAATATTCCTTTGGCTAATCCATTGGCATTGAGAGAGTGAGAGAGAAAGAAAGCCAAACAAAATGGTCGAAGATTTTCGATTTGAACGTGCTTTGTGTTTTATTTATTTCGATATTCAACTATGCGAAGAATATTTGTATTTCGGGTGGAATACGCGCCTCAACGGCAACTTCATCAGCAACCCGATTTCTTCCTCTTTATAAGAGTTTATTTTGGCTTACAAATGCCTTGGGCCCAATCGCCCTCAATTTGTTAAATCAAAAATCTTCGAACATTTGGTTTTACTTTCACTCTCTCTCTAGCTCTCTTTCTCTCTCCCTCTTTCGGAATTTTATTCAATTTCATCGTTGATTTTCTGCAAATAAAACCAATAACTTGAGTGAAGTCATTTCTTTGAATAATAAATCATTTAAAATAAATCTATGAAATGTCACAAAAAGAAGAAATGCTGATTTTTTCTTGTCGCCTTCATTACTTCTATTTATCATTTAACATTTATTTTCAGCTCCAACAAAATTGATGTGAATTTAATCTATTGCCCTACATTTGATGGAAGTTTGTATGTATGCTTATTGTTACATTTGTTTCGATTGTTTGTTCATTTGTTTTGAAGATTCCCACTATTCCGGGAGCCGAATTTAGGATGAACTTTGTTACTTTTCAGGATCAGACGAGCTTCACTATTTGGTGGGCCTTTTACTCATTTCACTCTGCTTCTTTTTCCATTCTTTTGGATGTGCTTTCTTTTGATGTGAGTACATGTTTGGTCTCCAGATGAATGCCTCGGGGCAAAACGAGCACTTGTATCTATAATTATATAAATGTATAATAATTAGTTGATATAAATATCAAATAATAAATAGTAGATAATAGAGAATTTACAATTTTTCTCCGGTATGTGTGGCCACATGATCCTGTGAAGAAAGCAAATTTGTTGAGTCATTTCACAAGACATAACCATATTTATTTAATCTTTTCAATGTATTTCATTGACATGCAGTGTACAAACCTTCAGAGCTACAGCCGCTTTGAATGTTTTGGAACAGAGGTGACAACTGAAAATTCGATCGCAATGAACCTCTCGAACATGACATACTTGAACGATAAAAGATCAACATTTGAACAACGATTTTCAATTGAATTGGACCATTTGCATTCTTCTTCAATTCAACTTACACAATGCATTTTGATTGGGTGAGACTTTGTCGCATTGAGTGCATTTTTGTGGTTCCGAATTGTGTCGAATCATATGCTCCTTCAACGTATATCTATTACTCAGCCATGCACTACAAATCTGGCATTGGGCCCGTTCGCGTCGAATCGAATTTTCCATATGCATGCTCCTAATGTGGGCCAGCACCTCTTTGCGCGTTGTAAATGTTTTCGCGCAATATTCACAAATCTCTGATTTTGCCTCCTTATCAGCTTCGTGAATACGGAAAATATGCGACTTTTGTAACTTTTCCGTTGAGAATCTAAAAAATTCATATAATTTAAACAGATTTGGATAGAACAATTTAGAAAAAAAAAACGGTGTAAATTTCACAAGATTCAACGCATGACTCACTTTCTATTGCAATAATCGCATGGAAAATTTCGTGCCGTTTTTTCTTCGTGAGATCTTTTATGAATTTCAAGCCGATATTTTGACTTCCACGCTTTGCCACATTCGTTGCAACTAAATCGTTTCGTGTCGACCGCTTTGTGTTGAGAAATGTGCGCACTTAAATCCGCCTTACGTGGAAATACTTTCATGCAGGTTGTACACCTAAAATGTTGTTAATTGAATCAATATAGATTGAACAAGACTAAACATTCAATGAGGCTATTTCCTACTTGAATATATTTGGATTCATGTGATACTGCAGGTGATCGTTGATATTTTTGAGCTCTCTGAATTTCATTTCGCAGCACTTGATGAATCCATCAGGTATTTGATGTTTTTCTAAATAGTGCAGCTTGGCATGTTGCAATGACGACAATTCAATTTTACATATTTCGCAATGCATATCGAAGAACAATTTTATACTGTCCGTATCCGGATTGATCGCATTCAAATTCTTCTTTGATTCGGTAACTAGAGGAAGATCTTGTGGTTATTATGCCATTTTAAATGAAAAAGAAAAAGAAAGATTGAATTACCCAAACCATGAGTCACCTTCATGTGTCTAGTCAAATGATGTTTGCTGAAAAATGATTTGTTACACACATTACAAACGTTCTGCTTTGGTGATTGGCGCGTTTCATGCACTCGTAAATGTGCCTGCAATGCGATTATCGTTGTACTATCCTTTTTACAAATGCAACATCTGAAAAAGATATCGTTTGAAATTGAAAATTAGGCATGGAACCAAAAAACTATTTACTAGCCCAACATAAAATGATTTGCATGCATAATCAATCCCAATATCACTGGCATACATTACACCATAGTAGAGAAAATACTCACTTGAAAAGTTCCGGTTTCAAATGCCACAAAACATGACCTTGAATATTAACGGCTTTCTTGAACTTCAGACCACAGCACTTGATAAACCCATCGGCTACTTGGTGTTCGTGCATATAGTGGTATTGTGCTTCTTGCAGTGATTTGAACATAACATCACAGTAATCACATTTCATATCGAATTGCATTGCAATCACTTTGTCAATTTCGGTTGCGTCTAGTGTCATCTTTTTTACCTCACGCAATTTGTTTAATTGTTTTCGGACATCATCTAAAATGCAAATTATGTTCCCCCAACAACAGATATTATATTTAAAAAAAAAAACAGTCGAAAAGAACACAGCAACTGTCGGAGATTTGGAATTCGATGGTCTATTCACCTGGTTTATGGTAGAATTTCAGATGAGCTTCGAGTTTTTCTTTGCTGGTACAACTATTGGTAGAGGGAGAAAAAAAATGAAAAATGGCAACATTTTCATGGTAAATTGATTTTGATAAATAATTCATTTAATTGTAGCACTTACGATTTCGAGCATATATGACAAACGATTGTTTTCGAATGCGTTTCCATGTGATTTCGAATTCTGTCAATTCTCGTGAATATTTTGCCGCATATATTACAGGTGTAGTTCTTTGAATGCCTATGATTCGCCATGTGAGTCTGTTTAATCAAGAACAAAACAGTTCGATCGTCAGTTTTATTCCAAGTAGGCGGCTTCAACTTAAAGTCAGACTTTGATTTTTCAAATATTTTTTACATGCATATCATTGGAATGTGTGGCTATCATGATGATTATTGGGCCAAATAGTGATAATTTACTCCTAAACATTCGATGGTTCCATTAACCCTTTGATGCACAATTTTTTGTTTTTGAATCATTTTGATATATGTTTTGTGCCACGATAAATAGAGAAAAACCTCAAAAGAAAAAATTGCGTATTTGTCGAGAAAATCGGAAAAGAGTCAAAAGTGTCAAATCACTATAAAAGCTTGAAAAAATTAAATTTCATAAAACTAATGATGCAGAAAGTTAAATTGATGTGTTTTGGTCCTACGAGTCCTAATTTGACAATTGAAAAGAATGAACAAACCCACAAGATAAGAGGAGGAAAAATGTGGAATTCTGCTATAATTTCGCATTTTTTTACAGCAGTACATGAACAGAAAAAACTTTCCATTCAGCCAGCCAATTGTAGCCTGTAAAGTATCAAATGAAAGCTAGTTCAATTCCCTACATTTGTTTCCAAACAGGAATGTAAAAATATTCAGTGGTTTCATAGCTATAGCGTCTGGCGTATCTGGTTATTTTAGAAACCGTAATGTGATAAAGGGTTAATTTAAGCGTTATTGTAAACCTCAAAACAATCAAAAACCGCAAGGGAAACATACTTTACTTTACCAAAATATAAATGGTCCGAAAACAGAATCAACAAGCATTGTGTACAACGATATGTACAATGTACAATTGAGGGGTTTGGAGCGAAAATATCATACAGAAAAGTTAAGAGGAAAAATGTCAAATGAAAAGATATAGCTATATAGTTCACTATAGTTTACTATACAGTTTACTATATAGCTATCCCTTTTTCTCTCATTCATCATCGACATTTTTCCGCTCAACTTTTCTGTATTACATTTTCGCTCTAGACCCCTCAATTGTACATATCATACGTTGTTTTCGTATTTTCTAGCAGCCGTGTTGGCGATAGAATCGAAAACAGCTCATTACTGTATATAGCATGATTAAAATGAAGAAGTGAATACATAATGCTTTATTCTGATATGTCCAATTTTGAGCATTTTTGAAAAACTTTGACTATAGTACATAGTTCAATGTTGACTAAAAAATATGAACTCCAACATTATTGTTATTGCTTATGCTTTTTGAGACTATTATCAGCTTGATTCATACATTATGAGTGTGCTAGTAATTCAGTAATAAATAAATGAATTAGCTGCTATTTCGTAGAAATTGAGAGTGGGACCAAATATTACACATTCCCAAAACGTATTTAGGTTATAAATATAGTAGCCGTTTTGGAGAGTCAACAGTTGTTTTTTTTTTACTTTTACATACGGATGGAAGAAGATTTTTGAATAAAGAGAAAGTAATTATTCAAACGTTCGTGAAGGTAAGTTCTTGAAGTTCTTTGAAATTTTAAATTCGTTCAACATCTTTGATTCCTTCTGTCAACAGAAAAAGTGATATCGTATCAAAAAATAAATATATATCGACATATAATAATAATATATCGATTAAAGAAAAATAGAAAAAAAATTGAGCTGAACGTCTAACTCGTCTATATACACGTAATCTTGAAATTTTTCAAACTTTTTCCTAAAGACTATATTTCCTAGGCGTCCGATCATGGCTGATTCCAATCGGCGCCGATTTTTTCAAACAATCGGTTGCCCAGGAAATAGAACCTTAAGAGGGTATTTATAATTTTTTAAATCCGAAAATTTCATAAATTTACTGCGGATTTTGATCCAAATCATCATTATTCGTCCTAATTCATTCCATCCAACCGATATTTCCCGCAGAAATGAAGAAAAAAAAACTAAGAAAACTTTTAAAGTACTGACTTTCACGAAAATGTAAAAAAAATGCTAAAATTAATTAAATCATCACTATTTGACCCAACATGTTAGCCACATATGCCAACGATAGGCTCGTACAACATTTTCGAAAAATTAAAATCCGGCCTTAAGTTCAAGCCAGATCACTTAGAATCAGCATCAGCGGTACCAATAAGAATGCTTACCGAAAGTGACAATTTAGTTTTCATTATCCGATCACAATATCCACATCTGAAAGAAAATTTGAAACGAAAATTGGGAAGGATTGAAAAATTGATAAGAAAATGCGGCAAAAATTAATTCGAGCATAAAATCAATGAAGAATATTTTTTTAATTTACTTGAATATCTCCGGGTTGATATGCCATCGAATGTGATCGTTGACCAATTTGTCGCGTTTCAATTTCAAGCCACAGCACTTGATATAACCATCGTTGATTTGATGTGCACTTTTGTAATGCGAATTTGCACGCTTGAGAGTCTTCAGTTCGATTGAGCATATATCGCATGTTGTGTCAAAGTTTTCCATAAAGATTTCCTTGCCCACGGATGGATCGACGTCATTCGATTTTGAGCTAATGGAATCGCTCTCCAATTCTGTTTTAAGAAATGGGTAATATTTGAAAAAAATTCATCCAATCAGTTGAGAATGGTGTTGAAAATTTACCCGCTTCTTCTTCGTCATCATCTTTGTCATTTTCGATCTCAGCATCATCGTCATCGTCATCGAGTATATCATTGCACAGAACATCGGTCAATTCGAATAATTTTACCTCTTCAATACCCGCATCATCTAGTTCATCAGGTTTTATTGGGTATTCATCGGTAAACTTGAGCTCATCATAATTGGTGATGACTTCGACAAAATTGGGCTGTTCTGTAATTTCATTTGAAATGTTTTCTGTTTCGTGGTTAACTTCAGATTTTACAATTTGTTGTAAATATTTCTGCTGGGCACAGCGCACTGAACGATGGAAACGATGAAACTCCTCGGTTTTCTTCCAACATGTGGCACAAATACATTTTGGTAGTGCATCCAATTGATTTACCTAGAAATCGTTTGAAAAATTTGAAATCATTTCGGATTTAAATGGGAATGATGTCACTTACCTCGCCAATATGTTCGTTTATAATTCCAGCGATGTTTAAATCATCATTATCGAAAATGCCAATCAATCGGTTGTCCGATGAAAAACATAAACGACAAACCTCTGTTGATTCCATCGAATCAGTTCACTTCAATCCGGATTTGACACAATACTTTACTTTTCATTTGGTAAATAATGTAATATTTTGTTGTCATCTTACAATCTGTCAAAAAAAAAATCAAAGCCGACGCAACGTTTACATTCCACCGGATACATGTCCAAATGCACTTGAACAGCGAATAGACGCCACATGTTTTTCTTTTTTTTCTTTTTAATAACAACAATCCAGGCAATCGAAAATAAATTAATGAAATGCATGAAAATTTTGAAACAACCGTTTGTTTATTTAACTCAACGCTTTTAATATCGAATCGATGTTCAAATATTATGTTTGCATGATGCGTTATGCTGCGTTACTGTATATATCCGATGAATTTTCGAAAGTTCTGTCACTTAGCGGTAAAATTTAAATTTGCAACCAATTTGCAAACATTGAATTTTACTGTTATTCCAAATTCAATTCCTAGTTGATATCCCATCAACTATCGGTTAGTTTTGAAATACTTGCTTTGATTATTGCGGTGTAACTCTTCAAAAAAACTAGAAGATATCGAAAAGTCCCATTTAGAAATCAAAGAAAATGTTAGTTGTGATTTGGCTTCTAACATACTCAATTACTTGTCATAGTGTGGCAATTATGGGAATGATGTGCAACAGTTAGTTTCGAACCTCTACGCAATCCCACATTAAAAATCATTTTGATCGTGATTTAAGGATTGGGAATAAGATTTTTGTTCGATTCAAAATAACAACGATAACTTGTCTCTAAATGACGTGTATTTGAATGAAATCATCACGTCCATCCATGCCAAACTTCAATTTTTTCAGTGTTTTCGGCTCATTTGGTTTAATGTGTCAGATCTCGGATACAATTTTGTGTGTATTGCTTCTATCAAAGATCACAGCTAATTAATCAATTGAAATCATATACGATGAGCATTGAACACACCGTATCAGAGATTGCATATTTGCTGCTGAGTAGGCCTGAGCTGAGCTGAATTTGCTAACTCAGGCGCCTGAAGCGGTATTTTAACGCACTTACGGTGCAAAATTGTCGTGGCACGCTGGAAATCCCACTGATTTTGTTTTTTTTTCTAATTATGTTTGGGTAAATTCCAGCGTGCCACGACAATTTTGCACCGTAAGTACGCTAAACTACCGCTTCAGGCGCCTGAGTTATCAAATTCAGCTCAGCTCAGGCCTAATCAGCAGTAAATATGCAATCTCTGCACCGTATCGAATACTTCCTTGTTGGTTGCTCTTTCACTTCTCAATGAGATTGTCAACGGCTTGCTTCGGCTGACTTATCAATGACAAGCTGTCAATTTTTTATCCGTATTTTTCTTTCGTCGAGGATTCCGTAACTCAAAGAATAAATTTTCTGTCAGTTTTCGAAAAATTACTCAAGTAAACCGATAACCGTAAGTTAGGAATACTTTTTAGTTGTATAGTGAACAAAATGGAACAACGCGAGCGAAAATTGAGCCATCGAAGAGTTGGTGACGGTGGCGAGATAACATACAAGAAAATTCAATCGTCACATATTATGGGATTCAGCTAGGAATTCAACATACCGTACGTATCAATTGCGACAATGAAACGACCCATTTTCAAATTGCGCAGGCAATTTGCTTACGATATTTTGAGTCATTACTCAATAAAATTATTATTATTATCGATTGAATGGCTTAGGTCGGTAGTTTAGCATCAAAACCAAAGCGTGACCTATTGATGAACGATTTTTCGGAGTTGGAAACCATACCGTTCCCATCGGAAGGTTCATCGCTAACATCTGCGCACCACTACGCTGAGTTTATGTTTAAGATCTATGCTCCCATTGTATTTAGATACTTTCGTGATCTATTCAGGATTCAACTAGACGATTTTATGGTATGCATTCACTGATTTAACGCTGGTAATTTGTGAATCGTGTGCAATTTATATATCGAACGTTCTAATCGAATTTCAGATGTCAATGTGTTCAGCACCGTTGCAAGAACTGTCAAACCCTGGTGCATCTGATTCAAAAATCTACTTAACTGATGACGATGAGTTCATCATTAAAACTATACAGCACAAAGAAAGCGAATTCTTACAGAAATTGTTGCCCGCCCGGCTAGTATATTTATCTAAATCAAAACCCACGCTCACTCCTACCAAAGTTCTTCGGCTTATATTGCTTTCAGTGCAGTAGCGAAAATGTCCGTTTAGTTGTAGTGAACAATTTAATGCCATCAAACGTAAAATTCCACCTGAAATACAATCTGAAAGGATCCACACACGAACGAAGAGTGAGTCAAAAATGTTAATCAAATCCCTCTCAGAAGAATTCGCAATGTTTGTGTTAGCAAATAAAAATTGGAAACTGTTCTGAATTTTTGGCAAATAAAGAAGAACGAGACAAATCATCATACAAAGATTTAGATTTTATGGAACAACATCCGAACGGTATATTCCTCGAATCGGATACGTACAATGCATTAGTGAAGACGATACAACGTGATTGTCGTGTACTGGAATCATTCAAAATTATGGACTACTCATTGCTGGTTGGTGTACATAATTTAAATTTAGCAATTAAAGAAAAACAGGAAGAAACAAATCAACCACCGCCCGTGGTGTCCAACGTAAGCACCATGTCACAAGAGGATGAATCCGATTTGGAGGATGAGCCGGAAGCCGATCAATTCATCGCACGTGAACGTCATCAGGAGAACCGGGAAAGACATGATGCCGCAGCAGCGGCAGCAATAGCATTAAACCGAAGCAAATCGCTCGATCGCCAGCAATTGATCGCACATTCAACTTCGATGGAAAGCATACAGGCCGACAGTGAACCGATCGATGTTCAAGATGATGTTCCGTAAGTAAATACACACAAGGAAGAATGATTCAGACAAAAATCAACCAAAAGGTACAATGGATTTTTTTTTTTCGTAAAAAAAAAACCCAAAATTAAGATATCTTAAACTAAATAAAATTTGGCGTGAAGCCCCTAGTATCCGTGTGTCCACCATCATTCTATGCTCAGCGATTTCAGGATTTCATGGCCAAAACTATAGCTGCACAGCTAATAATATATTATTAATTATTATTAATACTATATTATTAACTAGGCAGTATTAACATCTGATACGTTATTAACATCGCCTGTTAATATCGCTATTACCTACTAGTTAATAACAGTTAATACCGATATCATCATACTAATATATTATTAACATGCGATGTTAATACCGATAGTATGATCATACTATATTATTATGATTTTCATGATAATATTTTATTAACATCCATGTTAATAATTATTAACATATCTGATGACATTTATTAACATCGCTGTTAATAATATGATAACTGGAAGGCTAATTTCGCAATACTGATAAGAGATAGCGGTTCGGTGTCTTCGGCAATGTTGTAGTACTCGTCGCCCTCTACAACTTTGCCTCGGATTGTTATCACTTATCTCATATCAGTTTACCGGAATGATAAGAAAAAGAAAAGTGTCATAGCGCTGTGTTTCGATTTGTGCCCAACTGATAAGAGATAAGTGATAACAAACTGAGGCAAAGTTATAGAGGGCGACGAGTACTACAACATTGCCGAAGACATCAAACCGCTATCTCTTATCAGTTTCGCGGAAAACGCGAAAAATCATGGAATTTGGTGACGTCACAGTATTGATAATAAAAATCATAATAATATAGTATGATCATACTATCAGTATTAACAACTGATACGTTATTAACATCGCCTGTTAATATCGCTATTACTTACTAGTTAATACCAGTTAATACCGGTATTATCATACTAATATATTATTAACATGCGATGTTAATACCGATAGTATAAATAATAATATATTATTAACTGTGCAGCTGAGCCAAAACCAGGATCCGATAGCATGAGACTTTTTACGTCACAGAAATTTGTACGTGCTTTACATGTTTATTCATGTTTAAATGATTGAAACTTGAAATTTTGACCACTTTCAGGCGTTGTTGTTGTGTTCTTCAATGCAATTAAGATAGAAACTTTGTGATTACATGTTAGTTCATGAATATTTTCACTAGTTTCGCTCTCGTCACATTCTGTACATTCAGTGTCCATATGAATCAATGTATTTTTGGTTTTTGCTGTCGGATCGTGGCCAAAACAGTTTTCAAGAAAATTCCATCGCGTAAGTTTTCAATTTTACCAAACTCTTGACATTTAACTCAGGCAAGTGATGAAAATGATAAAAAAAATGTTTGTTGATTCATACCTGTAATCCGAATACATTGATCACCTGAATGGACCCCCTTTCAATAGATTTCTATTTTTGTTTTCAAATGAAAATTAAAAATCAAAACAAAGCTCAAAATTGTTGTATATTCAGTTGTGACCCTTCAATATTTACTGTGACTAATAATCGAAAAAAACTTATGCATAGCATATAATCGCTAGGTACAGCACCTTCTAGTTGTTCCACAATACGACCTGCTTTTGATGACATTTCTGAAAGTAGCAGCTGCCATCATCAACATAGTAACGATCGTGGAAATGTTCGTAGACCTCAAGTACGTGTATTTTTATTAGTCTATTCTAAAACCTATAATTTTCATTCTCTCATTGTATCTGTATCAATATATTTACGAATATTAGTGGTGGTAATTTGGGCGATCATAATAATGAGTTCTAATTCCATTTTCAGTGAGTTATCGAAGAGGAAATTATCACGGCACTTCGAGAAAAAAGCGTGGAACTTCAATCAAATAGAAAAATTAAGAGATGTTCAAATTTACCTGTGGCCTTTGTCCTTTATCAATTTATGCATAACGCCACTGAAAAAGAAATCGATCAAATAAAAGATGTGCGTTTCCATTTTTCTCCATCATTCAAATGTTGTTTTTTGTTAATCGAGGTTTCTATTTCATCTAAGGCCATTTAAAATATACAAATATGTTTAGTAATAGGTTTCAGTATTAGTTTAGTTCTCTTAAATTTTAACTCTAACGATTATACAGAACATTATTTAGATGATAGAAAGATTTGTTTGTTTTTTTCTCTCTAAATGTCAAACTAAAGTTTGTTATCACACATAACAATAACAACAGGATAAATTGATCTGAGAGTCGAATAATGCGCATTTAATATTAGAACTGAGAGGGGTGTTAGCCAGCAAATGGCCAAAGCTCGAAACAATACTTGAAAAATAATTAACTCAAGATTAGTTCATGTGGTTTTTTTTCTTTTCATTCTGAGAAATTGATTATGTTTTGGGGGAAATAGAAATGGCCACCATAAATGATTCTCGCTGATGGGTCACACATCCGTAAGCTCGTCAGAGTAACTGTTTTTTTTCTTTTCTCTTCTAATTGTTTATTGTGTTCTACACTTAAAGGTTGATCAATGACAAAATAGAGGGCAAATATTTGGAATTGTCCCAAAATTCACGCGACAAATGCACAATCATTAAAACAGAGTTGATGATGAAAATCTGTAACAAGATGAATACCAATTTTCAATTAAAAAAGAATACCTTTCTGTTTGCTCTTTTTTCTTCTTGAAATCGTCCTGAATGCCTGGATGCACAGTAATTGTTGAGCATTTTCTTTCAGAGAAAAATGGAATTGGTGACGAATGTTTTTTTTTGGTTTTTAAGTGTGAGCGCTTCTTCATCTGCATCTGCATCTACATGTACAATGCAAATGTGTTGGGCATAAGCAATTTATAAATATAATGAAACTGCTGCTAAATAATCTTGACTATTTGATGTTTTGCTTGTGAAATATTTCATTTAAATGTAATGCTCTTGTGCACAATGTGCACTCGGTTTTCGATTGAACAAAGTTTATGTGTAGCTTCAATCTTCTGTTTTCCCCGTTTTTTTGTTGGACACTAGTCCGAGTGGATAAAGTTGAATCATATTTTGCGGCTTTTTTTTTTCTTTGTTTTGGTTTAAAGCTTATGGCTATCTTCATCTGCAATTATTATACAGCTACGATAATTTAAATTATATTATTTGTTCTATTAACCTTCAAACCGTAAAATGTATTTTCTAACGTTGTTCGTAAAATCGGTGCCTGAGTGCCCATAATGCATTTTATATGGGAAATGTCAGTTTTTTCTTAAATTTTTTTTAAATGTAAATATTTCAGTATTTATTGATCGGAAAAGTATGAAAATTACTTTGAAATTTTATAAAAGTCATAAAAAATCGAAATATGAAAGACAACAGCAAGTTTCTTGGAATTTTTTCAATAAAGTGGGAATTGCAATGTTGATCTCTTCACAAAAATGAAGGCAAAAACATATACATACAAATTCCACAATGGCCTATTTTGACGTCAAAAATTGAGATTTTGAACGGAAGGTTGGATCAAAAAGTTATTTATATCACTAGAAAGTCCTTGAAAAGTAGATGTCATTTTTGGTATAAAACTTCAAAATGGGCCGGCATTTGGCCAATATTTGGTCGTTGGAATTTTTTGGCCAAAATTGATAAAATGGCCATATTTTGATAAAATGATGATCGATTTTGATGTTTTATAACTCAAATTACATGTACTGTTCAAGATCTTTCCAATGATGTATATTTCATAGTTCCCACATTAATTTTTATACGCAAATTGTCGAAAAATGTATATGGGTATGGGCACTCAGGCACCCATTTTACGTATAGCGCATCACACATGTTTACGCGCATATGTGGTAAGCTAGTGCGCGTATGTGGGTATGTTAACGCAATTTTTGTAGCCAAATGTTCAACGAATCGAACCATAGTTATTTTATTAATTTATGATAAGAAATAATTAAGATATAAGCATTCAAAGTTGGTTTTGGGCACACAGTGCCCAATTTACGGTTTGAAGGTTAGTTCATCATTTTCGGTAGCTCGTATCGATTCGAAATCCTGCTGATGGGCAAATTTTAGCGTTGATATATTAGCAACACTCTCAGATCACGTCTAAATGTAATTTCTTTGATTTCGTTTAAACCATCAGACAAGCGCCTAGCTAACGAGTCGAACCTTTCTCTCTAGTTATAATATCATCAATTCATTTTTTTTGTGGTTGTCAAAATATGTTTACGTCTATTCTTTTTTTTTATTTTTTGTTCAATTATTAATATGAATAAGTAAAGCGTTCACAGTACCAAAGCGTTTAATTTCGACACGTTGGTTTCGAGCGATGTTGATTGTTTCAATGCAACGTTTATTCGCATGGTTTGCAATGAATCTCCCGGAAACTCTCGTCGAAATTTAGTTAAAAAAATTAATTTGTTTTAAAAAAAGTGTTTCATTCATTTTTTTTTCATTCAAATACAATTCATAATAATTCATATTAGATTTAATCTGTTTTTTTCTGCTCGTGCGGTTGTTTCTTTCTTTTGTTCACTTAACTCTCTAAAATCTATGTTATGTACGCATTATATTTGTGTTATTCAGATTTGTCTTTTGTTCAACATATCCTGTTCCACGGAGTAAATTTTGTGTGCAACAAGAGGGTTTCTTCTTCTGTGACCAAGGTGAATGACAAATCGATGAAGAAAGCTCAGTCAATATTCGTTTTTTTTAAATTGAAATTGTATGAAACTAGTCGATCAAAATCAGATAAGATGCAACCAAACAGCTTTTAGTCAACCAAAATGGAATAACTAGAAAAGGACATATATTTTCATTTTTGAAATGAACCATACAAAGGCTAATGTGAATTTAAGGGAATGTAGTGGGGATGAAATCAGCACATGATCAATACTTTTTGTATCTTAAAGTGACACGTGTATGTAGGCATCAGTGTTGTCGGAAAGAAGAAATAATTTATCTAGATAAAGATAAGATAATTCAACTATTTTTCAAAATTTATCTAGATAAAGATAAGATATTATCTTATCTAAATGAAAAAAAAAGATATTATCTTATCTATTATGAGTTTTTAGATAAGAAAAAAAGATAAAACATTTGTGGTATCGATTTCACTTTATTGACGATTTTCGAAAAACAACTGTTTTGGTGATATGCTCAAATTTTTCGCCAAAATGGCATACTTTTCCTGCGTGTATAATCCGAAAGAGTTATCGCCATTGCTGCTTTTCCTGAAGTTCGATGAAAGTTTATGGCAAATACGCGTGGGCGGATTCAAAACGAAGATTCATAAATTAGATTCACTGAATCATTTTTCGGAGAAATTCAGTTTATTTTGATTCAGTGGATCAGTGATTCATTTTTGGACAATAAATTACTTCAGATTGGATCACAAATCGAAAATGATTCAGAAATAAAGTGAATCTCTGATCCAGACAAAAATGAATCTTGATCCCGAAATTTGTTTGAATCTGTGATTCACGCGCGAAGTGACGGATTCAGTGAATCACTAATCACAATTTTGCCCTGTAATTGCAAATTTCTTGTGCATCTTTCTTGGTAAATCGAAATTGACTATACGGTTTTAATATTTGGAACATCAATTCTTCTGGCAAGTACATCGGAATTGGATAGCATTTTTGTTTCGCCACTTTGAAACCAAGACATTCATAATTATCTGGAAAATTATCCAAAAAATCCAGATAAATAATGAAAAAATTTACTTATCTAGATAAGATAATAGATAAACACTCTTTTTATCAAATTATTTAGATAAGATAAAAGATAATATCTTATCTTATCTTATCTGAATTATCTAGATAATAAGATTATCTTCGACAACACTGGTAGGCATGAACCGACGGTTTACTTTTAAATAAAGAATTTTATTATTTGCTGTTTCCGTCCTCACACAAACAATAATCATTTTAACGTGAGAATTTTGCTTTGCGATTTCTTTTTCGAATTCAATTTATTTCTTTTTTTCATCTTTTTCATTTTTTCAAAAAACTTTTTTATGTCAATTCCAGATATGTTATGTGTTGGTATTTCTGGTAACCGGATCACCATCAAAATTGAACTGTCAACGCAGACTTGCTGTGTATATGTATATATATATTATTAATGGAGATCCGGTAATATAGTATGAAACTCACGGATAACTGTGATTTTCGTACATTACCAGAAATTCTAACACAAAAATGTTGAAATTTGTGACAGTGCACTCTATGAATCGGTATAAAAATGGGAAAAATTATTTGTTCTAAGCAGGTTCTGAAATCAATTGGAAAATGTCACGTTTTTTCATAAACACGACCTTTTGAATACTCTGAAGAAAAACAAAGCTTCACAGTCTATAGACAAAAACATGTTCTGTAGTATCATTTGGTTTCATAACAAGGTATCTGGAAAATAGATTCGAGGAAATGTGGTACTTTAAAGTGCTAAAATTATTACTGGCCGTTTGCGAATTTTCTGAATGAAGTCTTGGAGTAAAATCAAACGTAGCAACAAAATCTTCCTGTTTATTCTAAAATCTATAAAGTTTTTGTCCAGAATATGATCGAAAATTGGTCTTCCACATCTTAACCTTCGATTAGATTTGCATATCTCGCTCATCCTATTTTATTTGTTGAACAATTCTAACTCTATTAATTGGCTACGCAAATATAAACGCATGTGTTTGTAATTCAATTGTTTCGATTTTTTTGTTGTTTTCCTTTTGACAAAATTATTGATGTCTCTACATTTTATACGCATTAGAGATGTGGATTGAAAAAAAAGCGAAAAAAAAATCAGAAAAAATTGAGGAAATGAATTGAATCTGTATCGTAAAAAGAATCTATCTCATTATAATTGCTAATTTGTTTAGTGAATAAGTAACTTACTAACGTTTTTGTGTTTGCACAACTTTTTTTTGATCCATACCAGCTTTTTATTTGTATTCTTCAATTTTCAATAATTCATTTTTGAAATGATTTTTTTTCTTCTAATATTGATGTTTACCCTTTATAATTATACACTCTATGGCTACTAATGATAACATTTAATTGTACACTGTGGCTATTCTGTACAAGTTAGACAAATTTGGTTTTTTTCCCAACGTAATTACAGGGAAACAATAAATGTCCGGAAAAAAGAGGTTTGTCTGTGTTAATATTGCATTTTCACTTGAAGAGTGGGGAGAGTGTGTTGTGAAAGTAAAGAACGGGAATTGACGCATAATTGATATTGAAATCAAATAATTCAATGCTAATTTTCTAGAAATTCAATTGAACCAATTCTTGTGGTAAGTTCGATATTTACAGTTCTATCTTTTCTCTATAAAATGCTGCGAAAATATATTGCACATCGTCTGATGGACAATAACGAAAAACTCAAATTATTCCATAAATGGTTTTTTTTGAATTCAAATGCCGTTCATTCCCATATATTGAATCGAAAAGAAAATTCAGTGAATGAGTTTATATACAGATTTCAATTAGAGGAGGAAATGAAATGTTTTCGATTCGGAACAATAATAATAAATACTTTTTTTCTAGATCGCTATGGAATCGATTTTATAAATAAGACTGATTGCCATGGATATGATCACTTGGACCTTTGTAAACATCTACACATCATTATGAATCGATTTTGTGATATTTCCAGAAACAACGAAAAAAAAATTGGGCTATTCATTGGCTATTCATTGGGCCATCAGAAATTGGGTCGTATGCTTATCGCTTAATCAAATGCGTTGCATGCCAATGGATCATTTTAATTGGGTAATGATGACTAAGTATTTGTTGTTATTTATATTTTTGTTCGATTTTTTTTTGCTTGATTTTTCCATCAACTTCGCTATTCGATAGAACATTTAATTGTCTGGTTTATGGATAAATATTGTAAATGTTTGAACATTAGGAAAAAGATTAAAGCGATTTTCATTTATTTTTTCAAGGGTTTCTTTTGTACATAAAGCTGTTTTAGATTTTTTGTGTGTTGTGTGATACTTCTGTTGAAATGAACTCTATAGGCTATCATAAAATTGGTTTTGCCTCGAGGCGATTTTTGTATCAAGACATATGTTTGAAATAGAGTGTGATTTGCTTGTGATGTATGTTGTATTTGTTCTTCTTCCCGTTATTAAGCCGCGAATTGGTTTTGTACTAGGACTGGGTGTTTTTCTTTGTTGCGTGGCAAAAATTCTATTTGGTTGTTTTAAAAATGAATGTGATGGCTAGGTGTTTAGATTGTTTGATAAGCCTCGTGTTTTGCGTGACAGCGAATGTTGTGAGCGCGTGTATATATATATATATATATTTCTCACTAGAAACGCATTCAAATCCAACTGTTCTAAATCCATTTATTTTTACCAACGGCAGATCGAAGCCGGCGACCCCACATCATGTTGAGGTTATGTCATACAATAGTCCCTTGTAAATGTTGTGGCGATTGAGCCGATCGAACTGATTGCTGGCTATCATCGGACTGTGGCACTTGAAATGGTGATCCACCTTGTAGTTGAGAGTCAACACTGCTCAGTCCTAACGTGGACCCGCCGAAACTAGATGGATTTATGCCGCCACTGCTGCTCACGCATGGCACGCCAAGTACTGGTAACGGCTCCTCCGGTGGTGTTACCTACACGTATTGCAATGCACAATACAAATGAGTGATTGTGACACAAATCACGAATGGAATAAACCAAAAAAAAAGAAAGAGAGAGAGAGATGGAAATCAATGAAAATGGGATTGTTTGGCTGGTGGAGCATTTGGAGGGCTGATTTTTAACAGCTCCAATTGAATTTGATTTGATTTGATTTGCGCTTGTGGAGTGTGATCTCTACAACTGTTACCAGTGCTACTGCAGTTTATGATGTCATGTGGGATGTGGTCGTGGTTCATTTTTGTTTTGGTTTCATGATGACAAACACTTGAATTACTTCAACATTCAAATCGAAGAAAAGAAAACAACTTTCAAATGAATCATATTCACATTTCGACGGATATTTGTTAAGTTCATTCCGTCAATTACAATCTTCACCAAGTTGTTTTCTTATTTCGATATTGAAAAAAATTAAACTTAATTGTAACATTCAAATCGGATAGGTGTGTTTTAAATATCATATAAAAAAATGTGTTTAAAAGATAACAAAATACATGTTCTATTTTCCTGGTGAAATCATACTTATTTTGATTGTATTTACAATAAATATTGTGACGCACAATCGCAAAAAATCCATTTTTTGCATGTGATATGTGTCAACAAATGAGATGGTACGAGACACAACACGAAGTTTGATTGGTGAATGATCAATTTGTCTTAAATTTTCTCTTTTTTGTTTTGAATCAATGACAAAATCATCGGTTTGATCATATATGAATGGTTTGGAGCGAAAATGGAATACAGAAAAGTTGAGCGGAAAAATGACGATAATGAATCAGCGGAAAAGGGATAGCTATATAGTAAACTGTATAGTAAACTATAGTGAACTATACAGCTATCCCTATTCATTTGACATTTTTCCGCTCAACTTTTCTGTATGACATTTTCGCTCCAAACCATTCATATGTGTGTTTGTGTTTGGTTTTGCATTTGATTTCAATCATTTGCACAATCGACAAAAGAAACACAAGGAGACAACGGATAACAATTTGATATTGAATGCATATTTTGTACACGTGTAAATTGTTGCTGTTGTTTGTTGCTTTTGTTATTCAAATTGTAATAAATGTGGTTGATTGATTGATTGCAATATTGGTGGAGATAGAAAATGTATTTAAGTGAAGGAAATGATTAAATTAGACTAAACAAAACAAACCTCAAGGCCAATACTTCCGTTGAGTGAGATTTTGATCGGATTTGAATGGTTAGTGGCTTGCATAAGTGTTGTAAAATGACTAATGCCAATCTCTTCGAGTGACGACTTGCGTCGACCAACCGATATCCCAACATTAGGTAATCCCTGCCGCAGCGAACTTGAACGCCTCAACGAAATGTCGCTTTCGATCTAAAATTGCGACAAGACAAAGAAAACAAACCAAATCGGTAAATTGTTTTTTTTTGTGTGGAATTGCAGCATTCACGTGAGTGGCTGCGTGTGTGTGTGTTTTTGTTGTTGGTACTTACGCGCAGTGAATTACTTCTGCCGCGTGTTTGACCGCCAACCGTTGGGCTATCAGGTAGGGATAAGGAGAAAGAATTTGGTTTATTTTGAACAATATATGGTGATGATGCACGTGCAGAAGATGGCAATCCATACCCAGGCAAATTCTGTAAGGTATTCAAACAGAAACCGGATCCGCGACGCGATGCTGATGCAGCCGCTTGCGCCATATTTAAATTCGAGCAATAAGAAATGTTTGATTTGCGTCGTGAATTGTGCCTTTCGAATGTTTTTTGTGCCGAAAAAGGAGACGGTCGAACCAAATATCTATTCGAACCAAATGTTGTTTGGCATTAAATCATGCAAACAAGACGAAGAAGAAGAAGAAGAAGAGAAAGAGGAAAACAATGGCGAACGAAAAAAAAGTAAAACGAAACGAAAGCCAAAGAGAGAAACGATAAGAAGCAAACAGAGGAGAAAAAGAGAAAAGAGAAGAGAAATGGGAATAAAACATTTGCATTAGTTTCGATTGGTTATGGTTTGGGCGGGGCGGCAATTCGAATCGAATGTTCAAAATAAAGCAAAATTTTCTTGATTTCTGGTTGAGGTTGTTGTTCAAAATAATTCGGTTTAAATAAAATTATTAAGCAAAAAATGTTGTTATATATAGAAATAGTATGCTTACATAATATCGCCTTCTTGAAGTTTTAAATCACAGCTGGGATTGATAATTACATACGATAAACTATTTCGTTTTTCGCTAACATCATCGTAATCGATAGTCGGTAAGTTCAGTGATTCCATACGACTTCTAACTAAATTTGCTATTTCGGCTCGTTCGATTTGTTGCTTATGGATTTCGCGTGCTTCATCATTCATATTAATCGAGTACTGTGGAAATGTTTGATGTGATGGTTCATAATACGAGTATCATGGGATGAGAAAAGATTCGGGGAGAAAATGAGATTACCAAATGATTCTTTGTTCTCGTTTGGACATTTGAATTGAAAAAAAAAATCATATTCATTCATGTGTTATATATTTCAACCAAACTTCAAAAAAAAAACGGTAAAACTAAGTTTAAAACAATTAAACACAAGAACCGTAAATATGTGTGTGTTGATTATAAATTATGTTAATATGTTTCAGTATTGTTCTTGAATTTTTGATTTGTTTTCTTTTCTTTTTCGATTTCATTTTTTTTTTCAATTTGAATTTATTTCATTTGATAATCATCCAATTGATATTGTGTCGAAATTGATCCGGAATTAGAATCGAATTATTTTGACAGATTTATGGTGTGTATGCAATCAGTAAGGCCATAAACATAAATTTTTGGTGTCAATCAAACGGCAAATAAAAGCATACAAATGAATGACGAAACAAAAAGAGAGAAAGAGTGAGAGAGAGAGAGGCATACAGTTGTCAAAAACAGCAAATAAATTGAATGCTGGTTGTGTTTAGAAATAGAGATTTAGAGCGAAAACAATGTACGACAAATGGATGAGAATAAGAATAAAGAATTCAAAATGGAAATGGCAGCGTGATGGAATTGCAACGGAAAATAATTGAGATGCAAATGGTGTTTTGGTATTATTGTTTTTTGTTTCGAGTACCCAAGCGCGACTCCACACTTAGCTTCTAAATGTAACACCGTAGTAAGTGTGGGCATACGTTTTGCAAATAAGCGACAAAGAGAATGGAAACAAGTGCGTGTGTGGTAGTGAGTAGCCTGATACGATGCTTCTCAATGTAGCGACTAATACACGCGCACTTGTTTCCATTCTCTTTGTCGCTTATTCGCAAAACGTATGCCCACACTTACTACGGTGTCACATTTAGAAGCTAAATGTGGAGTCGCGCTTGGGTAATCAAGGTAACAAAAATTCAATTCAATGCAATTTTATTGGTTTTAAAATTCGATAGATAACGATAAGAAAAGAATTGTCGTATTTACTTTCTTTCTCTCGAGAATTTCTAAAAAGATGCGATAACAAATGGATCTGATCTATCTATATTTGTCTAGGCGCTAATAAAAAACAAATCGTTCCATTTTCTAGTTAAAATAAAAAAAAACGAAACTAAACAAAACAGCTGATATGTTTCTTTGAGGGGAGGGGGCGGAAAAAAGCGGCTAAATTTTTGTTTTTACGACAGTTCAGGTTGAAATATGTGAGTGTTGCCAAACAAGCGGCTAAACTAGCTTGCAGGAGGTGTCTTCTATAGTTGTGATTATTGTTGTTGTGGAGTATGTGTGTGATGGTGTGTGTTGACCTATACTTACCAGCAGTCACAGAATATATTGGCTGTTCATTGAGTATATTTGATTTGTTTTTTTGTACTTATTGCTTGCAATTTTTGACTGTGGATTTATCGAGTGCGATATCAAAAAAAAAATACAGATGGAGTGGGTATAACAACCGGAAAAGGGGGGAGGCGAAAATGAAATAGATAGAGAGCGTTCATGTCACACATACAAATTTGAATTTCGAATGGATGGAGGGGCGGAACTAAAACCTATTGCAAAACCTTTCCAATGCACAATAATTTTTTGTTCAAAAATTCGAAAATTTTCTCGTTTAAATTCAACAAACGGGTGGTCTAGTTTAAACGTTTTCATGTGCATAAGATGTGTGAGTGGTAGAGCGATTAAAAGAGAGATAGAAAGAATAGTTGGGGCATTTTACTTCAGCATTTAGTTTCATTACAAATTCGTACTAATTCCACTGAATTGATCTTTTTCCGAATTTTTATTCATTTTTTGTTTCTGTTGAGGGAACGATACACACACGAAAGAAATGTTCAGATATTCGCTACGCCCAATTTTTTTTCCTTGAAAAAAAACCAAAATTTGAGATTTCTCAGACAAAATTTATTTCGGCGCCTCCATTTTACATACATTATGGAGGTTCGAAAAATATATTTTGTCTGAGAAATCTCAAATTTTGGTTTTTTTCAAGGAAAAAAATTGTGCGTAGCGAATATCTAAACCTTTCTTCCGTGTGTGTAGTTGGTTTGTTTTATGGAACTTTCTCAATTGTTTTTATGTCTAATACAGAGAGACAAAGACAGAGTGTAATGAGGACAGAGAGAGAGAGTCTGAGATGTAAAACAGTAATCTACTTACTGCAGATCCTCTACGTTCAGTACATCCACCTAAACATGTCGTAGATTTTGAGTGTATTGATGGTCGATAAGTTACTTCACGTAGACCACTGCCGTCAGATGTTCCTTGTTTAGATGATGCTCCAGCTTCTTCATCGTACTGGATTTAGGTTTTTACATACACAGTATTTTAATCTATTATGTTTTGTTTCTAACTTTTTTTTTGTTGATGTTGTTTCAATAAAAAAAATGTGGTGTGTAATCCTTAATAATGAAAGTGGGATATCGCTGTTCATATGCTAAGCAAAAAAATGGTGTTTGAATTCTTCAAGAAAATCACTCGGACCATTTATGAGCTAAGCACGTGCATCTAAGTTCTCAAATAGGGGGCAGGGGCGAGTGCATGCATCAAGTGGAAACATTTTTATGTTGAAAAAAAAGTTAATCAGTCAGTAACAATGATGGGGATTAAAAAAACGATCACGTGAGCAAGAACGGAATAATCGAATACTGGACAATTGTACAACGATAATAGCGAAATCAACTCGAAAATCCATCGGCATGCAAATTTGTTATGTTTTTTTTAAAATTGCATTCAGACATAAATTGACACGAACTCAATGGTTATGGAAATGTCATGAAGTTGCGATTGAATTAATTTCGTTTTTTTTTGTTTCAAACTTCTGGCATTACAATGATGAGAGAGAGAGAGAGAGATCACAATGGAATGATCAATAAAAGGCTATGAAAAATGTGGAAAATACACTCGAAAGTCATTCCTGTAATGGGATGATTCCAATTGTGGAACTTTTCCAGAAAAGTTCCGCATTTTTTGTTCAATATTTTGGTTTGTTTGTTTGGAATCAAACTATGTTTTTTTTTTCTCTCAATAAAGCTAGAAAATGTAGTGCAGTGCAGAACAGCAATCATAACGATTTTTAGTGGGATGGTGCAAACTAAATAATATGTGGAACATACACGAAATACAAAAAGCGAATGAACAAAGAATTTGTGAACACAAAGCTTTCATCATGCAAACGATTTACCGAAAAATTCATATCGATTTTATAAATTCTTATTTTCTTCTTTTTTTTCGTTGGATTATTGATGACGAAAATTCAAAAAAAATAAATCATTGTGTTACAAACACGGAAAAAATTTGCTTCAAATCAAAATCGATATTTAAAAACAGAAAAAAAATACGGTTTAAATCAAAAACCACACACACACAAATTTAGTTGGTTGATCCAATCAAATAATGATTCAATCGAAAAATTCGATCTCATTTAGCTGGGAGTGTTACCATCGAACGCTGATTATGGCGTCGCCATCGACAAATGGAAGCGATTGTGTGTTTTTTTTTCAAGCGTTTATTTTATCGAACCGTTCGCTCCAGTCAGAAAAAAAGCTTTCAATGGTAACATTCACAGCCGGATTTTTCCATTCAAACATACATTTTTGTTGCATCAGAAAAATGAATTTTTATTTTTTTTTGATAATTTAATGAAAACAACAAACTTTGACTCACTGCGTGCGTGTGCGACCAAAAACGGGCCCAAATAATTTTTTTTGCGATTTTGTACAATTGTGTTTTACTTTTTTTGTGTGTAAATCGATGTTAAATTCAATCTTATTTCAACGAACTCTTTTTTTTCTTTCGGTTTTCATATAAACTGCAAATGAAAACTTACGATAAAGGATTCCTCGTTTGCAAAAAGATTTTAGTTTCGATAGCTGTGGTTTTGAAAAAAAGGGTTTCTCATTTTTTTTGCTTGTAAATTTTTAAAGTGACGTTGCAAAAAAGCATTACGCAATGAGAGATGCTTGGACGAATTTTAAGCAGAAGTGAAAGACCGAATTTTTGGCGAAGTTTTTTTTATTACGGATTTAAAGATTGAAAATTGAAGATTTGAAAGTCATAAACAAAATAAATTGAGAAGATTGAAAGTCATGTAATCATCATTCCGATGTATAAAAAGGGGAAATGAACGTGTACAAACTAGGCTGCGTTTACATACAGGGTAATCTGTATATTAAAACATTTCATTAAATACAGATTTTCTATCTATATATGAATGCGTTAGAATAAAAAGGGCGTATGATACACTTTCGTACCGAAGCGCAACTCAAATCATTCGCAGAACAAAGTGAAACAAAATCTTGTTGTTATTTGATTACGGAACACTAGAATATTGTGTGCAAACTATTTGTGTTTCGTTTTGTTCTGATAACATGTGCGGTGTGTCGTTTTGTTTTACCAACCAAATTGTATTTCACTTCGAAATGCGACGCATTTTTTTTCGATTTACGGCTGTATTGCGACCGTCTACATGGGAAGTTTGTATGAAAACCTCGGAGCGCCGCTGATATTGCATTGGCTTCTATAGCCAAATGTACACATGAAAATATCTCGAAAACGGCTGGGTTAATCGGCAAAACGGACCGTGGTGTCACTCCCGAAGGGAGTGCAAACACCCGGCTGGTTTGACGGCGTAGAATACAAATCCGGTAGAATTTCGGCTGATCCATGGATTCTCAGGATTCGACCTGATTCTAGCACTTCAATTTCTTTCATAACAAAACATAGGTAGAATGTGTTTACAGATGCACATAAAAAAGGAAGCACTGGAATCTGGCCAAATCCTGAGAACCCATGGATCAGCCGAAATTTCACCGGATTTGTATTCTAGGCCATCAAACCAGACGGGTGTATACACTCCCTTCGGGAGTGACACCACGGTCCGTTTTGCCGATTAACCCAGCCGTTTTCGAGATATTTCCATGTGTACATTTGGCCATAGAAGCCAATGCAATATCAGCGGCGCTCCGAGGTTTTCATACAAACTTTCCATGTAGACGGTCGCAATACAGCCGTAAATCGAAAAAAAATGCGTCGCATTTCGAAGTGAAATACAATTTGGTTAGTAAAACAAAACGACACACCGCACATGTTATCAGAACAAAACGAAACACAAATAGTTTGCACACAATATTCTAGTGTTCCGTAATCAAATAACAACATGATTTTATGAGAAATTAGTGCTATTACTAGCAATAATTGTTGTTGTATTGCCGAACGTTTTTTCTTTCCAATGATTTGGTTTCTCATAAATGCTCGTCGTTCTCAAACAATAACGACTAACAACAGCAACAAAAAAGAGAGCGCAATCTCTCCTCAATAAACTATATCGAAGAGTGGTTCTCTCGTAAAATAAAAACCAACACAAAAACCTTTCGCAGTAATACACTGCAAAAACAATGTGTGTAATGGCAATGCTTGTCACACTTTGAGCCTACGTTCAACTGAATTACTAGCGAGCTAAAACGTCGTTCGGCAGGTGGCTGAATGGTTAAGCATCAGACCGGCAATCTGAGTATGCGGTGTTCGAGTCCCGCACTGCCAAAATTCTTTTTCTTTAATAAGGAAAAAAGAATGAGTGACGTTTCTCGCTTTAGTGGTGTAGTTGAACAAACGGCAATTCGAACGTATTGAGGCAATACAAAAACCAAATCATCAACATGATTTTGTTTCACTTTGTTCTGCGAACGATTTGAGTTGCGCTTCGGTACGAAAGTGTATCATACGCCCTTTTTATTCTAACGCATTCATATAAAGGCGCGCTTCGAACTGAATGTTGAATGAAACAAAAACTTTCAAATCATACAGAAGTTTAGGCTTGAAAAATAAATTGGATATACGAAAAAATTTACTCGAAATACTAAAAAAAATAATTCGAATTGTCATCAAATCAATAATTGATTATACGATTCCAATGCCCAATAAAGTTAAAAAAATTTCGAAATCAATTTTTACTTACTATTTCAAACTAGATTTCAAATCATAATGTAGTATAACAACCAATTCAACAAATAGAATCGGACACCATGTCAATCGGTTGGTGATGATCAAATTAACGTAGGAATAAATGTGTTGCTGTGAATAAAAATGGGATTAGCCAAAACCGCAGGTGTATATGTGAATCACTTGTGTGTTCTTGTTAAGAGATAGGAAGCAAGTGTCTGAAGCAAAGTTGAAGAAATTTGAATGTTCGAAAACATTGCATAAGAGACCATGGTGCATCCGTCATCTATCTCCCACCAAAAACATACAAATGATTCATACATTAACGAACGGTTCCGGATAATCCCATTTTTATTCTCAACAACCCGAATTGTTTTGTCTGCACATTAATACTAGCTAAGACTTGAGATTTATCCATCAGGTTAGTACATGCGATTTTATTATCCTCATTAACAGTAACACCGTTTTAATTCATGTTGCGCTGACAATTCTTACGTGTTGGGTTTACTACTAACAATCGAACTATGCGTTTTTAGATGGATTGGAATGCCGCGGATCACCAGGTGTAAATTATATGCAGCATATCGGCAAAATATGTCACTACACAAGTAGACTGTTGCAAAACCTGCCTGCTGACCATCAAGTAGACTGCCTGCCGACCATCATAGCACTGCTTTTATAGTAACGTACAGTGCCAATATGCTAAGCATTTAAAACTGCATGTTTGTTTCATTAATGCCGATTATCGATTGACAAGGTGACACCGATTGGTCAAGATTAAAGGTTCGAAATAGAGTTTACGTGGAAAAAAATAAATACATTCAAAAAAAAAAAATTCAAAATTTGTCGTTGCACTTTAAATAACTGGACAATTTTTGAATGTTTTCCTAAACCCGTTCTACTGGTGACAAAAAGTGATAACAAAATCGAAATGGTACGTGAATAAACGTAAACAGTACTTCAACTGAAATATAACTGACGATAAAGAAAACGGAATCCAATGGAAGATAGCGAGATAAATAGATTGATTCAACTAAACAACTGTCAAAGATAAAGTATTAAAATGTTAAGAGAAACAGAATTTAAAACGAAAAAAAAAACAGCATAGATACGGAACATGCCCTACTGACAAAATGTTTGAATCATTTGAACATTTCAGAGCAAATTTTTGGTCGGAAAACCGATTGGATGTCCATTGTCCATATGAAAAGGTGGCGTTTTTCTAACAAAGTCAAAACAAATATTTGGAGAAAAATACGTCATAATCTCGTATGAAAAAAAAAACTCGTAAATCCAAGCGGGTTTCTGAATGTTTTCTGAACGTAAGTCGTAATGTTTTAGATGTGTTCCGAACATTTTATCAGTGGGGTTGTCTGGTTCATCCCAAATATATACAAGATGCTTTCGAATCATTTCTCCGCTAATCAAATTATGAGCAACACGAAATGGTTCTCGACAAAGAGAGTGAAACGTTGTATGGTTGCTTGTTGGAAATGCCATTGAGTCGATACAATGGGGCGCGATTTCTTCGAATATATAACTAAAGTTACGAAATTCCAAGAAACAAAAATTGAAAACACTAAATGTTAAGCGTTGGTTGAAACAAAAACGGAAAATTCGATTAAAAGACGCATTAACAATTCAGCGTTGTAAATAATGAAAAACCGTGGGTGGGAGTCGTTTGTGTGTGTATTGAAAATTGGCTTGTCTTGAAAAGAAAAACTCTTGAAAGTTACGAACGTTCGTTGTGTTTGTCCAAATAGCATTCGCATTGCAAATTTGATCGCTTAAAAGGTTGCAAAACAATCGCTTTTGTTATAGTAGAGACTAGATGCGCTCAAAATGACATGAAACGGATTAAATAATTTTTCCGCGAACGAATGAATGTTAGTAAAAGTCACGGGACGAGAAGCGAAAACTAGTCAAAACATTGATGGAGAAAAGAAGAGATGGAGAGAAGAGAGCGAGAGAGAGGGGAAAGAGAACAGCCTGTTTGATATTTAATTATTAATTGCAAAACAGACAAATTCATTGAGCATAACGAAGAGTGAGAGCAATAGGCGCTTCTATTGTGGTTTTTTGTTTTTGTTCTTTTGTTTTTGTTTCGGTTATGATGATTGATTGAATTGCAGTTAGATGCTTGGATTGGGACTCACCGATGGCCGCAATCGCACACAATGCTTGCTAAATGCTGAAAACGGTCTCCAACGTTCTTCGGGTGTGTTACTCACATGTGTTGCATCGGCACTGCTCGTATCTTGCGTACGATAAATTCCGATCGGAATTTCACAGGTTGTTGAGCACAATTTTTGATATAAACGTCCATATGTACGAATCCACATATCGTCTTTAGTTATTTTCATCTAGTACAACGAGAAATCAGATTAAAACCGACAAAATGCTATAAATCAACAGAGCCCCGAGATTGCCGGGGCTAATTGAATGCGACACAACAGAAGAAGAATGGAAAACAACAAGAATATTAGCTAAAAAAAGAAGAAGAAGAAGAGAAGTAATAGTAATCGAAACGCTTGTATACCGATGTCAGAAAACCACTACCCGGTGCTTGATCAATGCCTAATAATAAACGTACGAATGTTATCACATAATCTTTAACGAATGCTTGATACAGTAATGTGTCTAACATAGATGCACTAAATACACAGCCAGCGGCGAATGGTAAGCGAAACATATATGATATGTGCGATCCTCGCTCCTTCTCTTTCTGTGCGTCGAATCAAACAAGGGAAATAGAGGAAAAGAGAAAGAAAAAAGGAAATTCGATTAATTGAATTTGGATTGAATTTCCACGATTCGGTTTCATGATAGATTAGCATACCTTTTCCATTTTACTTAGGTGTAACGCGTATTTGTCGTGTGCTCGGAATTGCATGAATCTCATATTTGAGCTTTGAGATAGTTCCGTTATACTTTTGATGCTTGGAAAGAATCTGCAAAGAAGGGAAAGAAGAAAAGAAATTGATGCCAAACATAAGAATCAAACCAAAAGCCCACATTAACAGTGTAAAATGGTCAACATACTTGAACATATTTTGAACAGCGACAATTGTATTACAATCGGACAGACTGTCTTCTTCGGCCGAATTCGAGAGTTCCTTGTTCACAACGACAACATTTTCGGCAAGTGTAATGCCACCGCGTAGCAAATCGTCCAGGTTATCAATTGAGCCTTGCATCCAATACACTAATGGAAAGTAAGAGATGGCATCGAGGAATGCAACATCGGGTCGTCGTTCCAGCAGCAATATGATTGGGTTTAGTGATGTCTTTGACTTGAAATGAGCTCGCAATGGTATAATAAAGTTATAAATCCCATTTGATACTTGGTCCGCTGCCAAAATGATGGTTTTATTTTGCCACTGATATTCCTTGGCATTTCGATAGTTGCAATGCTCGCACACCTGTACATACACACACAGAGACAGAGACACACACACACCGATCATTGCAACGAACAAAACAATTAAGTAAATATATCAAACAATTTCGTGTGTTTAGCACGCACATCGCACGCACACAAGGACACGCGAGCGCACGCGGTGTGAGTGCTGCTGTAAAAATAGAAACGAGATCATTATATATTGTACCTGTGCCAATTGTAGGCAGCACAACGGCTTCTTCTCTTTCAACAAGTAGCAAAGTGTGGGAGACACACCGATGAATGGTGATACTGGCGGAAAGCCCTTCACAATCCTATTGGGAAGCATAAACACAAGTCGGCATATCGAACACACGAATGCTCATTAGAAAATTTAACAAAATAAGCTGCAGGCAATGTCATAACTTGTAATTTAAAGCAAAATGTCATATGTTAATTTTTTTTCTGTCTTCAACACAGCTAACAGTATAGCTTCCATTCCATAAAAATGAAGATATGTATTTGTATATAAAAATATTACTTCTCTGTACGTCATTTGAATGTCGATACGAACGAGAGAGGACAAAAAAAAAGTTGGTATGGCGCTTGATATGTCACGAATAAATTGAAATTGGTATGGATTCAGTTAAAATCATTGACATAACGGACATGAATCAGAAAAATTCAATAGAACGCGGGTTTTTTTTGACGCAAATCATAAAGAATCGTTTTTAAAATACTGATATCTGTATGTACATATGTAGCAAAAGATGGTAGATTTTTTTCTACTATATTTGTCTCTATCTAACAAAAGATATCCGCATTTTTTGTTTTTTTTTGTGAACGTAAAAAAGAATCATTCCAATAACAGAAAAAAAGCTAATCCAATTGTGCAGCGCATTCAATTTAGACACAGTACTGATGAATTAATTCGAAAGACCAATACTGCAGGTTAAAATTACTTGAACAAGCGTTGTCAAGCATTGTCTCACACACAAAGAGCTTCACATGTTAAATAACAAATAAAATGCATGCACAAGCAATGTGAACACATTGAATTTTCTAAAGCGCATTTTTCTTAAGCCAGCTCCATACACTTGCAAGCGCGCATTCTTGCAACGATATCGGGCAATGAATTTCAGAAAACATTCATTGGACACCAACACGGGATACACATCGACTAGGTCACTTCGTTCAATTTACTGCATTTCTGCCCAAAACATCGATCAATTCACAGGCATATCGACAGTGATTTTCATTCCTCTTGAAGCAATTTGCTTTGTTGAGCATTGTTTTTTCACCTTCTTTTCTTTTGTTCAATCTCACAAAGCTATTTCTATTTACACTGCCGTCTAATTAAACTCGCACACATTTACATGGAACGGAAAATCAGTTAGGAAAAAGAATAACCAATTAAATTAATGTCACAGTAAACCAAATACATGTGTTAATTAGGGGTAATTTTAGCTATCATCAATAGGTTATCAATACATACAGAAAAAAAGAGAAATCCACTGGGAAATAATGCATGTAATCCAAGCCAAATCAGCACAAAAATACATTAAATTTGTGAAACATCGAATGGCAAAATGATTTTTGGCGAATGATTCGATTGGCTTTGATTGTTATAGAGTGATTTATTGGTTTGTTGATTTATGGATTTTCAATGGATTTTCAATGTGAAAAACGAATTTGCGGAAATTTATCATAATTATTCTTTTTCGAAAATAAAATTTTTTCTTTATCAATTGTTCATTTGGCGTAAAGGATTTCGAAAAGATAAAAATGCATAAAAATTAAATTGAAAAGCCGATTGTAAATGAACGAACGAAGGCAACGGAATGGGAGAATGGGATGGGCGAAAATGTGTGTGATGTTATTGTTCTCATCATGTCTCGAGTTAGAGAGTGTGAGAATTGAACAGCGACACGTGGAAACAGACAAACTTACCGAGAATAGTCGACATGCCATGCAGGAGGTGATCGTGGTTCATTGGGTTCGATGTGGTTATCGGTAGTCTTGGACGAAGCAGAACTACTTCTATAACAACTATTTGAGTCCGATGAACCGGAGCTCATGATCAGCGAATAGGTGCGTAAGTGTATTGGCGACGGATTTACACCAAATTCACTAATATTTTTTTCAAATTTTTTTTTTAAATTCATTGTTTGTTTGTTTTTTCGGTTGGGATTTTGTGTGTGTGTACGTGCGTATTTCAATCAATAATCAAGCATTTAAAATTCAGTGACCATGGCACGATAAATACGACATTAGATTTTTGTTATCAATATATAACATGTATTTGCATTTACAGTTAATCGTGTGTTTAATAAAAAATTATTGTCAATAATTATCATAAATATGAGTAATATACAGTTGTATCAGTGTAACATAGTTTTTTTTGTCGTCATCATACACACGCATACCCAATATATTGATAGTAGTTGCACACACAATTTATTTTCAATCCAAGGTACAAGGGAAATAATATACAATTTTTTTTTTTTTTTTTGGTTTTTTTTATACACAAAACATTTTGGGGAGTTATTGACGGTCAACACAATATTCAATCACAAAATTCAATTGTTATACAAATTCGGGATAGACGAAGGAAAAAACACACAAATATTTTGAAGGAGAAAAAAGAAAGAAAAAAAAACAAGATATTGCTATTGAGTATCGTTTTCGAATTGAAAATGAAATCGAACCGAAAATTAGAAAAAAAGTCGAAAAAAATTATTTCAACGAAAGATTTTACAATAGATATGTTATTTGAAAAAATAAAGACATTGATGCTATCGATTTTGATACAAATTTATGGGACATATTTTTCTTAAATCAATTCTCCAGGACATTACAAGTATGTATGTGATGAACATAAAACGTAAATAATATGAAATTCAATGAATAAGTGATGCAAATTATAAGGCATAAGCACCGAAAAAAAAACAGCAATGGAATTATATCGATTGGTTATTGAATGCGATGATAAAATAATTAGAAACGGCAGTTAATAGCCAAAGTTAAAATATTCACTTTTCATTTGTTAAACACAACGTTTTTCTATCGTTCTTTCATTTGGAATGGAAGGATGGCGATAAAAAGATTAAGGGGGACAGACAATTTCCCATTCGACTTTGAAGGTACTTTGAGAAAACTTTTTTGAGACAACGCAACTTAATTGGATTTGTAGATGTTCAGTATAGAAAAATGGTCGATTGTTAACCAAATATATGTTTGTATGCTATATGTGGGGCAATTGGATGCATTGTTTTTTTCTGCTTCTTTCTTTATTTTCCACGAAACAAGCATAATGAGTCCCATTCGGATGTGATACGTAGATTTTTATTGTTATGTCAGACTATTGATTTTTGGAGTTAAACATCGACCCCTTCTATTACAGCATGGGTGCATGACGTGGAAGGAAAAAAGTTTTCGTGTGAAAATAAAGAATGAAAAAAAAAAACTGAACTTGCCAGTTGTGATAATGAAGCGTTTGAGATTATCAATTAGGCAGAGCTATAGCTTTTCGTGTTCTGGGGGATGCGGTAATGTGTTGAACTTCTCGCAATAACAATTCATTAAGATGCAAAGAGCGTTTCAATTTCAAGCAAACATAAACTTACTGAAGAATGAAGAAGGGAAAAAAACGAAGTTTAACATTTTGGCATTAGAAAAATAATTGGCATCGAATTTATTTCGATCGAAATGTCAATTAATTACAATTTAATGATGTTCAGATATTTTATTTATGCGCGAACTCAAGCAAAATTTCATTAGTAGCAAGAAATATGGAAAGAGTATCAAAAGACAAAGGAAGAAAAGGTTTATTACAAATTAAATGTTTGTTGTTTTTTATCGGAACATTCAATGAATGAGCTCGGTTAAAAAGATGATGACGAAATATTTGGCCTTTCAACACGTACACACAAAAATGTGAACTCGAAGCGAGAATGGAGAGCACTTTGCTTTATTGTCCTTTTGTCATTTGTATAATAGCAATGGACGCATGAATATATTTTGTATATAATGTTTGTTGGTTATGTGCATTTATTTTCGTGAACATACTATAATAAAATGAGCAATTTTTATGTAGTTTATTTCATTTTGAATCCATGTGACGTCGTGCCCCAAGTGCTTCCCAATAACAATGGGGCCGAGCGCGTGATTGAGGCAAAAACCAACCACACACAGAGAGAGAGAGACAAAAAAAATGACGCAAACAAAATATGCCAAGAAAGAGAGAGCGAGAGAGAGAGAGAGAGAGAAAGTAGTAGTTTTTGAGTTTGTGAAAATGGCAACTGGCAAAAAGCAACACAAAAATGCAGGTGCCGCAATATATCTTTCAAGTAAACAAAAAGTATTTTGGTCAATTTGTATAATTAATGTGGCGATGGAGAGAGAGAGAGAAAGAGAGAAGGAGAAAGAGAAGGGACAACATAACAGGCCAGCAGCTACTTACGCAATTTTTTCGGACGGTGAACGCCATGGAACATCATCATCAAGTTCATCTTCGCTGTCGTCGCATTCATCGCCATCATCATTGCCGGATATACTGAACGACGATGAGGTAAACATATCCGGAACGGGTAGTATCGACGGTCGTCTACTTCCTGAAACAAACATTAGGCTCGAAATCAAATACGCACTTGCATTGATTTGCCATTGTTGCAGAAAATGGACAATATCATTTGGTTACGACGAAAATTAGTGGCATTTACAGATTTACATTTTCGATATGTTATTAATATGTTATTATGTTATGTTGGGATTTTTTTATCTTATTAACGTTATTAAGATTCAACATAATAATAACATAATATGTTACGAAATATGTTGGATTTTTCTTAATAATATGTTAATAAGATACCAACAAATATATTATTAAGATACGCCATCTTAATAATATGTTATTAACTCAAATGATAATATATTGTTAAGATGGCGGATCTTAATAATATATTTGCAAATATGTTGGTATCTTATTAACATATTATTAAGTAAAATCCAACATATTTCGTAACATATTATGTTATTATTATGCTGAATCTTAATAACGTTATTATTATGTTATGTTGGACCAAATATATCGGCCGTTATTATTATGTTATCAAAGTGTGAATGAATGGGGCAACATTGTTGACAGCGCCACGCCAAAGTGGTTGCCCGGCCAACTACAGTCAGTCGTAACGCAAAGTGGCACAAGCATGTCCCATTTTCTGCATACAATCGTTGCGTTCATACGCGTGTGTATGCGAAAAATGGTACAAGGTTGTGCCACTTTGCATTGCGATTGACGTATGCTTCTGATTGAAAAATAACCAGATTAAAGTTAACTAAAACCAAATGAAAAGTAGATTCAAAAAAAATTCAAAAACATATTTCCTGAAAGAGTACCTTTTCTACTTATATTTGGCAAAATTTAAAAAAAATCATAGAGTTGGTTTCGCTGCAATAAGATTTTGAAATGGATTGTTCACAATTAATTTCTACTTTCATTCTGACTAAACAACGAAGTCTTGTTGCAGCAAAACAAAGACTATGATTTCTCTAAAACTTGGTTGAATCTAAGTAGAAATTATACTTTATTAAAAAATATATCTCTCAAATTATTTGGAATAAATTTTCATTTGGTTTTAGTTCATTTTAATTGGGTTTTTTTCGAACACAAGCATACGTCAATGCGTTGCAGTAGTAACCAAGTGACAACCAACGTGAAGTTGGCTGCGTTGCCCGGTATGCACACACAAAATAATCGGTTTGTCAGATTTCAGATATTTGACATAAATGTCAGTTCATGTGAACTTTAAATGAATTTCACATAAACCGTGCCTATATAAATGTATGGCTGTGACGTTTATGTAGATTTTGTCAAAACTTCGTATGAACCAACCTTTATGCGAAGTTTTGACAAAATGTACATAAACGTCATAACCATACATTTATATAGGCACGGTTTATGTGAAATTCATTTAAATTTCACATGAACTGACATTTATGTCAAATATCTGAAATCTGACAAACCGACTATTTTGTGTGCATTATGTTCACCCTTCGTATGTTATTAAGTATAGTTTATAATATGTTATGGCCCGTAAATCTGTAGTGGCATTCTCCCTTTTTCTCATTAATTCCAATGAGGTATCAACCAGCTCTCGGCAATTTGAACGCATCTGTTCCTATAGCTGTGCCATATTTGTATCTTAATAACCGTCCTAATAATTTTGAGAGATTATTGAGATCCGATCATAATACCGATAAATCTTAATAACGCTATCAACTTTTTATCAGGTTATTAACTATATTCAAATAATAACGTTATCGGATGAATCTTAATAATATCGTTTGGAAGTTATCAAGATCGAATCCTGACAATTTATCAACATTCAATCTTAATAATCATCAAGTTCTGGAAGTGGGTTTTGGTGGATCCACAGGATCGACCAGAACTGCTCCCAGTTCTGGAAGTGGATCTTCAGGATGGGCCAAGGGTAGTGTCAAACTGGATCTGGTCCATCCTGAGGATCCACCAAAACCCACTTCCAGAACTTGATGATTATTAAGATTGAATGTTGATAAATTATCACGATTCGATCTTGATAACTTCCAAACGATATTATTAAGATTCATCCGATAACGTTATTATTTCAATATAGTTAATATCCTGATAAAAAGTTGATAGCGTTATTAAGATTCCATCATAATAACGATATCGAACGATATTTTTACTTTATTACGATATTTTGATTAAAAAAAAATCGTGAGCACAGCTATATCTGTTCCTCCTTTTGTTCTATTCTCTTTTGTGGAAATCTCAAATTTGTGCCATTTCCGATCGGATATGTGTCCATTTTCAAGCGAACCCATTTATTTCAAATGTTGAGCATTTTCTCACGGTAAGTGCTATGATTATGGTTTGAAATTACCTCGTCGTTGATTTAAAATGTCCGGACTTAATAGGTTTGGATTATTCGATGGTATTTCTAGATGATTTGCGGCTGATAGTAAATGCGGCCCGGATCCTGAGCTACTCGCTCCAGCACCTGTAAACATATTCCATCATTGGATTTGGTTTCTCTAATGAAAAGAAAACAAACGAGTAAATTGTGTCATGGTAAAAACAAGCATACCTCCCACAACGGCTGTACTAGGATTAGATGCAGTTTGTGGTGCTGGCGCTCCACTAACGGCTTCGCTGAGGTTTTGTTTCGAATTCGATGTGGTCATCGAGGGTTGTTGAAATTTTTCTGAAGCTGAAAATTAGCGAAATCGTCTCATTTTACAGTTTCATTTTTCATAAATCTTTTCTTCCAACTTAACTAACTAATAGATTGCATAAATTCGGAAAAAATGTGATTCAGATTAAAAGAAATTTAAAAACAAATGAATAGGAACTAGAGTTTGTAAGAAAATAAAACTTTGATGTTAGACTAAAAATACTCTTTTTTATTAAAATGCTAAAATGGGCCAATCGAGGGAAAATGGTATATAATGAGTCTTAGAAATGAAAATTATTCAAAACCATTCAAATAAAATTTACCCTACAAAACGACGTTTCTATTTTCTTTGTACATTGTTACTCTATTTTTGAGGTAAAAAAATTTTGATTCAAGTTTATCAACATGCCAGAATTGTCATATAATTGATGAATCGATGATACATTTTTCGTATCGATTCAACACAGAAAAAGTAGTTAGCGGTAGTTAGTTGATTTTTATTAAAAATTACAAAATTCAAGTATACAGAGCAAATTTCAAATGCTAAAAATAATGTTGACAGAATCAACGTATTCATTGCAAGCATACAATGTGAATACCAATAATTAAACTGTATTGCACTCAAACCCGGCAGATATGCAGTTTCTTTTCTACACGAACAAAAAATCATCTGTCACAATTTCAATCAATTTTGAATCCTTGCTCTTTTCGGCACTTGAATCAAGCAACCAGAAAAAAATTTGTATGAATCCAAAATAATTCGCATTTACATTAAAGCGCAACGATAAATTTGTAAATATTGAGAGTACTAAGAGGAAGTGAGATGGGAAGATGGTATAGAAAATGCCTTTGCTTCACTCAGTAAGCACATCTTCGAATGTTTGATGTACTGAAGATGATGTTTCCATTTAGTTTTACTTTTAAATTTGGAACAAATTGAATTCTTTATTCGAATCACGTCTGCTTTTGACTTAGTGATGAAGTAACTCTCTTTGAGTTTTGATCAAAAGGTCAATGCTGACTTATCGATAAATAACAGTATGTGTGTGTGTGTGTGTGAGAGAGAGAGAGAGAGAGGAGAAAGCAGAAGATGGTGAGAGTGTGGATTGAATGATGGCTTTTTTCAAAAGCACATACTTTGGCACTTGTAATGTGAAGCTTATTGCATAACATGACGTAAGCAACATTGAAACAGCATTTATCGTGTGAATTCCGGTATTCATTCTTTTTCTCTCTTTTACTTTTCCGTACACATCGTGTCGAGGGAAAGTATAGGAATTGGTCCCGAAAACTTTTTCCGCAAAATTGGTTCAGATCATCATAAAAACTCATGAAACGCGTAGAAAACACGGTTTTGAGACACTTTTCCGTTCGTGTGCCGTTGTTTTCGTCGTCGTCGTTGTTATCGTTGGTGTGTGTGTTAGCACGATAATTCAAAAAATAATTAAGATAATCAAAATCTGAAAGTACCAAAAGTTTTGTATCAGAAAAACTTAGTTTAAGTTCAAAGATGGGACATTTTCGATTTGACCTTGGGGTACTTGCCCTTAGAAGAACCTTAAAAAATTGACACTTTTGTATGGGAGGTACCTGTAAATCGACTCTGATTGGATTCAAACTTTCTGGGGTTTCATTTTATGAAGGAAAAATAAGATTTTGAAAGTTTGAAGCTAATCGGAATCGAATTACGGGTACCTCTCATATAAAATTTTCAAAATTTTGACTAAAATTACCGATTTTCCGAAGATTTTGTATGGAAGGTACCCGTAAACCGATTGCGATTGGCTTCAAACTTTCTGAGGTTTCATTTTTTGGCGAAAAAATAAGATTCTGAAAGTATCATGTTGATCGCATTTGCAGAAGTTTGATTTTTGGTCCTCAATTTTTGTCGACATTTTCTTGGAAAAAATTGAGGGCCAAAAATCAAACTTCTGCAAATGCAATCAACATGAAACTTTAAAAATCTTATTTTTTCGCCAAAAAAATGAAACCTCAGAAAGTTTGAAGCAAATAGAAATCGATTAATCTCCTATACAAAATTGTCGAAGTTTTAAAGTTTTTATATTTAAAAAAAAACCAAATATACGGACAACGGTACGGAAAAGTTTGGGATTACGAATGTAATTCTTTTTATTTGATTGATGAATTTGGTAATGTCAAACACACATTTTTTTCAACTTTCCCCAAAATCTTATTTCAAACGGAATCAATTTCAAACTCATAAGTGCAAAACGATATCATGCATCAAGAAATTCGTAACTTTATTACATCAATTTCATACAGAACGAGTAAATTGGAAGCAATTCTTGTTGTTGTTGCATTTAAAAACAAATCATGTTTCAAGAGCGAGAAAGACAGAGAAAGAAAGGTTATGACAGGGTTTCAGATGCTGCTTCATTGAACCGCCCGATTCTAATTGTGTCAACTGTTGTGGCCAATAAGCTTTCGCTCGAAAGAATTTCTGCATAGGTATTTTGGCATAAAATTTCCGTTCTACCAAATAAAGTCGGTCATCTAACATATATATATATGTATATGTGTGTGTTTGCAAATGCAAAAGCATGCTACAGACGAAGAGTATAGTTATTCTTGCAAATAAACTACTTTCCAATTGTTAAAACTGAAGTAGAAAGAAAAATTTGCAAACAAAGAAGAAAAATTGTAAAGTTCGAAAGAAAGAAGGAGGTAAGTAGTATAGAGTTGAGTGTCATGCATTTAAGAGAACTTATGAATTGTATGGAATCGAAATAAAGGCATCGGAAATGAAACAAAAACAGAGGGTGATTCATAATTGTACGATATGGACTGTTTTAAATACGAGTATATGTATCGAGGTACGCTTTAACTATATATACACGGAAAATGCATGAATTTCTTGGCCAACGAAACAATGGAAGAAAAATTAGTGAAGGAGAAGGGGTATGCACAGGGGATAGAAAAACTGAGATCTGATATATAAATATTGATTATATTATTAAATGTATATACGATTCAGTAGCAGTGGTATGTTTTTTTTTGTAGTAGTTAGTTAGTTGCAGTAGTTAGTTAATAGTAGTTAAATAGTTGAAGAAGTATTATAGAGTCAAATTGGGGTGCAATCGTTCCCTTTAACTGCGACAATGTGGTAATACAACGTATTGATTTGCATTCGCCGCTGTGGAGAAATGCATAAAAGCATTGCTACTCAGCGGTATGCACTCTCTTTGATCGCGTATCCATTCCTGGTCTGCCGTACATACACTACCACATTGCCGATTGAATCGAGGAGCAATTGCAATATTTGCTATAAAAATTTTGTTTTGTGGCGCTTTTTGCAAAGCAAATTTTTGTTTTGTTTTATTTTTTTTTATTTTTTCATGCACACTCGAGTGGCACACTCACGCACGGCCAGTGCTGTAATATCACTGTCAATCGGTAGTTTCTTCATCGGCGTACATGGGCCAAAATCAAGGCTCGGACTATGCGGTACACGAACACAAACCGATGGAACAGGTGCCATGTATTGATGCGGATTTGACGATGTGTTGTTATTCGTACTCACTACTATGTGGGTGTCGTTCGATGATATGTTCGGGGATAGCGAGCAGAATCAAATCATTTCATTCATTTGCGTTTTTTGTGTTTTTATTTTTTTGTTTTTGTTTCATTGCATGTTTTCGAATGTATGTCGTTGAAGAGATGTGATCATTGTGTATTCAATTGACATGGTTCGTGGTGGGTTTTTTTGTAATTGATTGTGGTTTTTGTTCGGAATTGGTTTTTGTTCAGTTTGTATTAGCATTTGCATGGTTTTTTGTTTTTGGTTTTGGTTTTTACAATGAAAGTTCAGTTCATTTCGGTATTGTTCATACGGCGAGACAAGACAAACATAGTTTATAAAACAAAAACGAATCATTGATATGCCCATTTATAATTAAAATTACAAGAAAGAGCAATGAGGAACATCAAAAAACTGGTTAATCATTTTCAAACTCAAAACAACCAACAAAAAAAGAGAGAACAATTTGAAGCAAATATTTAGATATAAGCAACATCTATGAAATTGATTTGGTTTCCCAAACTCATAAACAACTATCAAATCAAAGTTTTTATTTTGATTGAACGAAAATCAGATGAAATTCAAATGAAAATTGAAACAAAAAACAAACAACACAAATCACAATCTAAACCGAAAATAAATTCCTTTTTTTCTGATACTCTCTCGTGAATTTTATGAACTTTTAAATGAACTCACAGAAAAATGTCAAACAAATAAACAGATCAAACACAAACAAGAAAAAAAAAAATCATCCAGCCATCATGTTGGATGGGGTGAACTTTTTGGGAGGTTTTTGTATTTTTTTTGTTATTATGCTCTCTCATTGATTAGGGAAAATATGAGCGGACACTTACCATCTTTTGGTTGATCGGGTGTCGTTTGATTTTGATTTACAACGAACGCCGAATTCTCCTCTTTTGTAATGCTCATGTAATAGCATGTGTCATCCTTCTTCATGATGTGCCTTGGGCCCGGATTCAATAAAATGGTTTCTTCATAAAATTCGGGCAACTCCGCTGGACGGACACCAACCAATGCAACGCCATACCTACGAAATTCGATCGAATTAGGACCATTTCACTAATACTGAATCACTATCATCGAATTAACGCTTAAGTGGATCCAAAGTTTCTCGCCAATTCTGTTCAAAATGCTTCACACAAACACAAAATATACCTTATTCACCATCCCAAACTCATTCTAGCCACTCTGTATCCATTACACAAAACTTTGCTGCTAATATGTTGAACGATAAAAGTTGCTCGTGTAACGTGTATTCCACACGTTCTAAAACAAACAAATACAAAACTACATCCGAATCGCTAGTGGTCAAACACATTGGAAATATTTGTTAAACACAACGACAACCATTGAATTATCGTATTCATCCGAAACTTTGCACTTGATCTGTATGTACTTGCGGAAAAGTTGTAAGCTAAACCGCGCACACATTTCATCAGGGCATTTACATCGATGACGACGGGTGTGCTCCACAGGACTTCCGCTTTGTATGAAGCATTTCATTTTCTTGTCGTGTATCAAATGTTTGCTTACGTTCATGATTTAACTTTGTCGAAACTACACATTGGCTCTTATCAGTCGTGGTTTGAGTTTCACATCAAATATTTTTTACCATAAAAAAAATTGATTGTATAACACGCCGACCATCCAACTGATGACATTCTTCGCTGCTCAATTCAACACAACTACTCAGTTTGAACATTCAATCACTTAAAACCGTAATGTTTACATTTTTACGCTTAACTGAGGAGTTTCATGTTCGGATCCAGACCAACGTTGGATAATTTTTCGAAACACGTGCTAAATAGTCATTGGCCAATGCTAAAAATAAGCATTCATATCTCATTCGAATCGAGAGGAGAATAATTGACCGAAATTTCAACTGACAATGGAGGTATGCAAATCGATGTCTTAGGCCCTAAATCCACTACAATACACTATCCAAATTATAAGAATTGATAGAATTATTCATTCGATTGGCACAACTATCCACCTCAATTTTTAAGTGTTATTTCCGCATAGACAAAAAGATGTGTACACTTGTTCTTTAAATTAAACACGAGGTGCTGCATTTCATAGTCTGATGCATTAACAATGGTTCGTTGCAGTAACAATGCACTTTAACATTCAATTAGCGAAAACTACCCACTTTGTTTCCAATTCAGATCATTTCTAAATTTTGACTATTGCAAATGAATCAATCGAAAGACTTTGAAATCGATTTCCTTTCGTTACTTACTTTCTGTGCGAATGAAAACTGGCATAAGTAAAGCTTTTTCCTTCGTATTCGCCGAAAAAACGGCTATCACCTAAGATGATGTGATAAATTTCATTTCCCGAGCATTTTCCATACAATCGATGCCATTCCTCTTGCGACTGTTGACCCTCTCTGCAGGTAGAATTAAACGAGAATTAGTTAGTAGGTTCATTTGATTGGACATATCGGAATTTGAATGTTTTGAAAATGGATGAGGGTAAAAAAGAAATCTATCCGCAATCGGCTTACTGTCCTCTCGATGTATGTAAAATCAGGGTGACAAGTGTACTGGCTCCGGGGCACGTGCAGTTGTTGGCAAGCAGCGCATATTTGAATTCATCCTCACAAACCACGTGCTCGGCGAATTTCACGTGCAACTTATGCTCAGGCCTATCAGACACACATACACAAAATGCGCATATTATTACAATCAAAACCAGAGAACGAGACGGCTAATCGCATGGCATGGCGTAATCGTCATTTGCAGTGGAACAAATTTTCAATTTCCGGACGCTGTGCGCTGTATTGTATGTGGGATATGGTCCCACTTTTTTAATCTCACAACATATAACGTACATCCACCAAGAGATGCTCAACTTACCGAAATATTTGTACGTATTGTGGCACACTTGGAGCAAAATCCTTAACCGCCCACGACCGTAAAATGGTATGTTCGTCGGCAGCATTTTTATCGCTATAATTTCGAGCAGCCAATATAAAGCACGCTTCGGCTTCATTCATACGTGCACGAGCCAAATCACCGTCTTTCAAACACGACCCCTACAGAAAAGCGTCAGCAAATTATTTTTTCCCCTTCTTCTTCGTTTTCATAAGAAATGTGAGTGAATAAAAAAAAATGACTAAAAAAGTCTATTATTTCATTTTGCACAATTGCTGGCATTTCATTTGGTTGCGATCGCTCTAGTTTTTGTGTCATGGTTTCCCATTCGGCATTGTGTTAACTGACATTTGCGAAGTGAAACATAATCATAACTTGCGGTGAAAACGGTTGGTGCAATTTCCTAACAGATACAAAATTCTTTGCAATGTCTCTTGCTCGCTCGTTCCACTTCAATGTTTGAAGTTTTCAAATAATTGCGCGCGAAACGGAAAATCGACCGAATTTCAAGTTGGAAATGTAAGTAGAGAAATCGCGAACAATGGCATATTTTAAATAACCAATACCAAACGAATAATGCCCGTCAGAAAATTTGCGCATAAAAACCACCATTTTCATTCGTAAACTTGTGAACGAGAGGATTGATGTTTGACCGAAAGTTTATTTGGTTTGGTTTCATGGTCGAAATATGAAAAACCGTTGATCTATTTTCCGTTTATTTAGCTCAAATGATTTGAAAGCTTTCTACTCACTTGAAATATGCAACCGATATAGGAACAAAATGCGATTGCAATGCAAATGCCAAGCACATGACAATAATAAGAATAATAATCTCTTTAGCCAAAGATTAAAACTTGAATAGAGAAAATATGGTTGTGGCGAGAGAACGTTGTGTTTTCTTTTGTAATTGTATATACTTATAGCAAAACTAAGGAGAAAAAGAAACTGTAGAAAGAAAAATGAGGCCATTGGTCTTGTCTGAATCATTTGGGCCGCTCATTCTACACCTGACACAAATGTACTGTATACTTGTTTTCTTGACGAGCACCTACGGTTCCGATCGTTTTCAATGTTTGATATTCTAATTAAGTGTACGCTTGGCATTGTGTAGTTAAAATGTATAGTAAATAGAAGTTTTAAAAAATGGAGACAAAATAAAACCAAAAAAGGAGTGTACGTACGAATATGATGTTAACAAACCTGAATGTAAATCACGCGTTGAGCCCATATCGGAACTTGTAGAATCATTCGCATTGTGGTGTCCAATTCCATTGGGCTGAGCAGCACCACATAGAAATCCTGTAGAAGCGGATGCGCATAGAATTCATTTAAAAAGTCCATTATTGTGTCGGCATGCAATGTGGTCGAACAGACAACAACGTGTTTTTCACTTTGTGCACGATGCGATGAATAGCTGCCGCCGAGTTTTTGCCGCTCCATCCATGTGAATGCGAGTTGCTCGAACTGGCCCCCGTTTGCAAGCATTGACACCGAAACGTACGAGCGAAAGAGGGAAAAGAATGAATAAAGAGAAAGAGATAAATGGTTGTATTTTTTTTGTTCTCGTCTAAATGTGAGTCAGTTAGCGAACATTGGTTGGGTTTGTAAAAGGAAGAGATCGATACTATGATTGTTTACAGTGTTAAATGTAGGCTAGTTGACTGCTATAAATAATATGTAAGATAAATTCACAATTCAAGCAGCCTGTCTGCAGCCGCCGTGGCATCGAATGCAAACGTAGACACTCTTTGCCACCCAATTATCGTCCACTACGTCAGCATGATTATTAAAGCTGTCTTTTATTTTGGTCGTTCAACGAATTCGATCATACGCTAAATGGTGGTCAGTTGTATGTAACCTGAGACCATTCAGTTTCAGACACTTTGCACTCAACTTGTTGGCGTTCCATGAATATCCAAAGTACATTTCGATTGATTTGTTTGTCTATCATCATCAGCATCAGTATCATTATCATCGTGCTATTCGAATTGACCTTGTGTGTACTTTACCGTTGATCATGCCAACACAACATGAGTCAACGTTTGCAATCAATTGAATTGTGTTCTAATCATCGAGCATTTTCTCTGCCAAAAGTCAATCGATGCTATTTGCCATGTTACTCAAAATGAAAATGCTATTGGTCGCCGCGCAAACAACACATACAATCTGAAAACAACTCAACATAATCAACAATTAATACATGACCATTCGACATTCTGCATATAACATCATTGAAAATCCTAAAACGGTGCTGCTTTGATTGCTGCTTCTCCCATCACTACTTGGTATGTATACAATCAAACATTGTTTTATTTTTCTACGCAGTTTTTGTGGTGTTTAATGACATGTCATTCGGTATCTCTGCGAACCGATGTGACCTTTCACATTCGCACCGCATTCAGACTGCGAATGGCTGTTGGTGCGATAGCTTCATATGTCCTCCCTGTCGTCCCTCGCGTTGAATGAATATTTGTATGTCGTTGGAAAATTCTGTTGTCGGTTGATTTCTTGTGTGCACTTTATTGTTCGAATGAAAAAAGCAAACAAACATGTAGTTGAGTGTGTAAACCAAAGTCGCAATCATTGAAGCTACTCGTTGCTGCTGCTGCAATCAGTTCAAGAGTTGAAGAGTACGATCGAAGATGGACAATAGGGAGCCAACCAACATGTGTTAACATTGTTATGAATGGCAAAATCGAATTTTCAATTTGTTTTATGTGCATTTATTAAGTACGTTATTTTGATAACAAAAGCCAACCGTTGACACACACTCGATAGATTCAGCTTCATCGCAATCACACACTCGAACTCGTTCTTCTTTTCACCTCGCTTATGCACGCTCACACATAATAATTATCACTCTATCTCTTGAACCATAAACAAACACAGAGCGACAGAAAATAATGCACATGGAAAAAAAGTAAGACAATGAACCAGCATTAGAATCAATCAAACCTGACACCATACCAACAGGTATAACAATCGTACAATATCTATATGTTGATCGTGTGTTTGATTTATGCAGTCAACCGCAGAGCAAACAGAAAATTGCATGTGACGTGTGTTGTGCAAATCGGTCGATCGATTATGATGTGACAGATATTAATTGTGTGCAGTTACGAGGGTTTTCTTATGGGAATATTTTCGAGTGGTTTGACCAGTCGGTCGGGCGCATTGACCAGCAAAAAACGAAACAGAATGAAGCGGCATAGAACCGAGCCAAAATGGAAGAAAGAGCGACAAATTTCACAAATGCAAAACGGCATTAAACACTAGATTTTCGGCGAGTTCATTTGTAATATACGAGTTGGCTGAACTTGTTTGCAAAAAAGACATACACACACGAACACACACGCACATAATATATATACAAAACGGAGGTATGTTCCAATTTGTATCATTGCATTTTCCTGCAGCTAAATATTCCGCTGGCGTCGTACCCATAAAATCACGTTTACTCTTGGTTATTTCGAATTGAATGTGTGTATTTACATTTATTACAGTATTGTTCTCTCTTCATTTCCTTTCCGTCGGAGATGAGAGTGTTTTCGTTGTCGTTATTGGTGTTGTTGCTTCATTTGACGACAACAACGATGCAGTCATGAATATATGTGCGGTCGCAGGAAACCAACGTACAGAACAAGCTCTTACTGAGAACGAGAGAGAAAGGAAAAAAATACACGAACAGCAGTTTTTACACTTGAATCAGTATTCATATTATCAACCCGAAAAATGAGCACCATTAAATCAATTGTACGTGATTTTGGAGGCGAGCTTATTTGCCGAATACTGTGAGATTTGCTTCCTAAATTTACACTTGTCATAACACCCAATAAAAATGGTATGCGAATGGAAAATGTTTATAGTCAACAACAAAGAAGAGCAACATCATCACTATGAAGCAGCAGCAGCAACATCAAAAGCAATAGCGCCCGCAGCAATTCAAACGAATTAAACAATATTTGGTGTGTGGTCATGTCTATCGTTGCCCATGCAATTAATGGCAAATTGCTGAGATTATGTTCTGCTTCATATTTGCGATGAAAAAAAATTGGACTCAGACATTCACTGTGGCTGCATATATAGCTGAGCTATTTACAAATAGCTGGCTGTTTGGTAAGTTTTGATTTTGTGACTATCTTGCTATGCAAATTCATGTGGTATCCAAGAATGTGGGACACCTTTTTAATCATTTACGTACATTTTTTGTCCCAAATTCGTGGATACCACATGAATTTGCATGGCAAGATAGTCACAAAATCAAAACTTACTTATTTATTAGTGAAACATCCCAGAAAAATGATTTTTGAAGTATATAGCCGTTGACAACTAATAAGAAATCAGGGGAAAATTTCGATACGTTTTCATTAATTTCTCATATTTTGAGATAAATGAACGAAAAATCTATCGGCGTGAATATTTGAAGTTTTTCTTAGCCAACTATGGTTATAGTTTAACTATTGTTTCCGAAAAAAATACGTTTATTTTATTAAAATTTCCAAAAAGTGTTGAGCAACTAATTAGAAACGCGTATACATTTATAGTTATGTAGAATAATTGAACAAATATATTCAAAAATCGAAAAATTGTGAATAAAAATCTCAATTTTGTCGAAGAGTGCAAAATTTTGCAACTTGTGTTAAAATTCTATCAAAATTTATCACATTCTCTCATTTCTATAGGTGAGATTGAGAGTAGTGTATGTTTCACTGACTTTGTTATGAAAGAGAAGAGTAAGTTTCCGTCGACTTAAAAATGGTTAAAAGCGAGTATGTTCATTTTTGGCGGGTCGTAACGGTTTTTTGCGGTTTTGGAGGAACTGATAAAAGATAACAACTTGGTCTCTTCGACAAGGTTTTAGTACTTGAGGTCCTCTATAACTTACAAGGAACTATCAACTATGGTTGCGCGAGTTGAGCGAAAGGGCATATGCCATAATGTAGGGCTTCGATAGACTAGCTTCACAGCACTCTCACTTTTTCCCCACCCGAACAACTTTTTTTCACTACATCGATTTGAAAATTTCCATATATAGCCATATATTGCGCATTTTACAACTTTAATTTTGGCCCATACTCGTCCCCTATTGGTTATATCGTTTTAATGTCTTCAGCAGAGTTGTAGCCAAGAGTCCAAGTAACAAAATTTACGAACATTCTATACCTCAAAAATTGCATCTGACTAGGTTTATAGGGCAAAATGTCGAAAAAAGGGCGATTTTTTCCATTTTTTCGACCATAACTCGTAAAAAATATCCATTTTTTGTTTTCTTTCTTCAGCATTATTATAGCCAGCGTCAAACTAAACAACTCTCCTGAACACATTAACCCCAAAAAATCAAATCTAGCTCACTTTTTTGGCTCAAAGTCACTTGTCGCTACCAAACGATATCATCGAGCATTTTCGGAGTTCTATAACTTCTCAACTACTCGAAATAGAGCAAAAGTGTTTGAAGCAAATTTTGAGTACTTCTCATGTGCTTTGCAGACCCAGTACTAAAAGTACTAAAAGAGTACTAAATTGTACTAAAAAGTACTAAATCCTCTCAATGGTTCTGGACACCTGTAGGTGATGCTACGTAGTACTAAATAGTACTAAAATTGACAAAATGGAACTGTTACAGACCCTCGTGACCGTTCCTCGCTGAAATATTGGTATTTAGTTCAATATTGGCCCCGTACATCTCATGGATTTGTCAGCTGTTTGAACTGTAATATTTTTAAAGTTTATCCAAATATTTCAGCGAGGAACGTTCATGAGGGTCTGTAACAGTTCCATTCTGTCAATTTTAGTACTATTTAGTACTATGTAGCATCACTTACAGGTGTCCAGAACCATTGAGAGGATTTAGTACTTTTTAGTACATTTTAGTACTCTTTTAGTACTTTTAGTACTGGGTCTGCAAAGCACATGAGAAGTACTCAAAATTTGCTTCAAACACTTTTGCTCTATTTCGAGTAGTTGAGAAGTTATAGAACTCCGAAAATGCTCGATGATATCGTTTGGTAGCGACAAGTGACTTTGAGCCAAAAAAGTGAGCTAGATTTGATTTTTTTGGATTAATGTGTTCAGGAGAGTTGTTTAACTCGACGCTGGCTACAATAATGCCGAAGAAAGAAAACAAAAAATGGATATTTTTTACGAGTTATGGTCGAAAAAATGGAAAAAATCGCCCTTTTTTCGACATTTTGCCCTATAAACCTAGTCAGATGCAATTTTTGAGGTATAGAATGTTCGTAAATTTTGTTACTTGGACTCTTGGCTACAACTCTGCTGAAGACATTAAAACGATATAACCAATAGGGGACGAGTATGGGCCAAAATTAAAGTTGTAAAAATGCGCTCTTGGCTATATATGGAAATTTTCAAATTGATTCAGTGAAAAAAAGTTGTTCGGGTGGGGAAAAAGTGAGAGTGCTGTGAAGCTAGTCTAACGAAGCCCTACTTTATGGCATATGCCGTTTCGCTCAACTCGCGCAACCATAGTTGATGGTTCCTTGTTAGCTGAAGACAGTTATCTCTTATCAGTTTTGCGAAAAGCGCGAAAAATGATAAGAAAAAAGTTCTATATAAATTTTGCTTTTTTAATTGCGTGATTTGCGCAAAACTGATAAAAGATAAGAGATAACTGTTTTCAGCTTAGTTATAGAAGACCTCGAGTACTACAACTTTGCCGAAGACACCATGTTGTTATCTTTTATCAGTTGCGCGAAAACCATGAACACCACGGAGGCTAGACGGTACTACAACATACTCTACTTTAACGCCAACAGAATCATCAGAAAACATACTCGCCTTTTCAAAAATATAAATCGAAGAAAAAACATACTCCACTCTCAATCTCATCCATAGATTTGGAGGTTGTCTCATTTTCAAAATATTCACAGATTTTCTGTGCATTACTCTTGGAATATATTGTATGGAACAAACAAATCGAAATTTTAGGGGATAAATCCAATTCTGTATGCTGTATGACTAGTGATGGCTTCGAACGTTCGTTCGTTCGTTCGACAATTTGAAAAAATATTTTTTGTTCGTTCGTTCGTTCGACAATTTAAAAAAAATATTTTTTGTTCGTTCGTTCGTTCGACAATTTAAAAAAATATTTTTTTGTTCGTTCGTTCGTTCGACATTCATTTTGTTCGATGTTCGGTCCGAACAAATTTTTTTTTATTTCAAAATCTCCCGAATAAAATTGGTATTACTATGAAAAATTATAATAAAAGCTAATAAAAGCATTAGCTGTAACGATTACATTATAAATTTGATCAATACATCGAATTTTCTGATGTAAAAATTTTTTCAACATCGAACAAAATGAATGTCGAACGAACGAACGAACAAAAAAATATTTTTTCAAACTGTCGAACGAACGAACGAACAAAAAATATTTTTTTTAAATTGTCGAACGAACGAACGAACAAAACCTTTTTTTAAAACCATGTCGAACGAACGAACAAGCGTTCGAAAGTGTTCGACGGCCAACACTATGTATGACAAAAAAAAATTAAAATATCCATAATAAATTTTTTTCTCGCTTATATTGTTTTCGAGGAATCGTAAAATCTGGCCGGGAATCATGCTGATTTTCGGGGAAATTCCCCGGATTCCCCCCCCCCCATCTGAAAGGCTTATGCATGGCACTGAGCGCGAATTTGTGAATAAAAATTCGAATGCCAAACCGACATAGAAGCCCCTAGTCTTCAACACTTATGAACATTTTTTGTTTCATTTTCTTCCTCTAATTCATCGTCGTGTCATTTCGATTTTAACACATGACCTTAATTCAAAACTTCATATGATTTACATATAAAAAATGTCATAAAATCGTTTTGCTAGAGGAGAGTCAAACAGATTGATGACACAAGTGGTGCACATGTTTTGTTAATCGATTCCTTCGTGTGCCGCGATAGATGAGTAATTGCAGCTAAAACATGGAACTACCCACTTATATTCGAAGCAATTCATGAACGTTATTCTTCTCTCGTCTTCATTTCATATAAATTGATGTATTTAGCGAACATATTATGAGTCACTAAACAATAGTAACACCACCATCTGTAATCAATGGGCAAAAGCCAAAATGCTTAGCAATGTTGAGGCTTGTGCTTGCTAGCAATTTATTGTGACGAAGGTGCTTTTGCAACAAGAGCGTCTTTCATTTTCCTTAATATTGCCACCCTATTTTCATGGGAATTTCGTAAGTCATCCAATTACCAGTATCAAATGACATTTAATTTCTTGTGTGCGATGCCGCGTCTTTGCTGCCATACGAACATCTAAATTATCCATATGAATTTGTTAGATTTTCCTCTTTTCATATTTCCAGAGAGAAAAAAAGCCCCATAGGGAGCTCGACTGCTATCATCACACATCGCTGAAGCTATTTTGAATGATTGTAAACGCCCACTTGTGCCTCGAGTGAAGTGTGTATGTAGTTTTTGCTTGAATAAATTGAATATAAAATGAAGCAGCTAAACTAATTTAAGTACTTCATTGTTCGAAAGTTACCTAAAGAAAAATTCTTTCCGTTCGTCGTTGAAAATGTGGAGAAACGTCAATTTACGACGTAAAATCCGGAGAAAACAATTATAGTTGCCCAGAAGTAAGAAAAAACAACACCGATGGAAAATAATCAACACAGCATTATGAATAAAAAAGCTGGTTTGATTGAATACGGGGGGCTATTTTTAAAAATCAATTTATCGGCTGCTTTTGTTTCCGAAAGTGAAGAGAATATGTGTAAAACATGTGTACACACATTTGCCATTGTAATAATATAAAAGAAATGCAAGCGAACCAAAACAAAAAAAAATGTCGAGCGCGAAACAATGTTATTCATTCGTTGGGCTTACCAGCGATAGTATAGTAAAATGTATACTCCTTTAAATAAATTTCGGTCTTTTTGAAATATGAACAAATGTAAACCAGACTTCCTTACACTGAACGCAGCGAACTCAACAATGTAGCGAGCTCTGTAATGTGAGAGCTGTCAAAAAAATTTCTGCAAGTGAATTCGCCAATTTATTAGGACTGGTTCACACTGATTTCTCTGTTTTTCGCTATAATCGTTTGATGTCAAATGGACCGAAATATATTTTAAGGAGTATACAAACCAAAATAGGTGGCAAATACACCAAATGATATCAGTTTTATTTGGGAATAAAAAAGAATCGTATATTTTACTCACTTGAGTGGGTAGAACGATGAGCGCCACGCAAATCATAATAACCATATACAGCTGCGAAGGCCATATATCTGGGACAAAATCACCGTAGCCTACAGTGGAAAACGTGACAACTACATAATATGTGCTCTGAAATAGATTCAAATGTCGATGGCCGGCTCTTTGAAAATGCTGAATACCGCAAACACTGAAAAACAAGACAAACAAAACTTGATTTTATTTTTCTATAATAATTTTCATATTTTCAGAGACTAAACAAAAGGACGTCCATTCGTGTGTTTATTTCTATTGAAATGGTCATAATTCTCACTCTCTACCTCCCTCCCTCCCTGTATTGATGGTGTAACGTGGGCGAAAGTTAACGGCATTTTGAATTTTCATTTGGTTTATACACTGAAATTCACCACAAAAAAAACGTCAAACTTTTACAGTCTTTTGTCTGAAATCCCGCCGATTGAATGAACACAGAGAGAGCTAGATATACACACATGATTATTTTCATGAACGGAAGATAGAGAGTGAATAAATAGGATGGTGTAGCGGTCAGACCGCATATCGTATTATGCTATTTAATGGATATTACGTGTATAATACTCATTTTGTCTGCAACAAGCGGCACACATACGATTATGATGCTGGCGTTCAATTATCTTTGCGAGTTGAACAGCAAGCTCGGTTGAACCGAGTCACTCGAACAAAAATGTCAACATTATCGATCCCTCTTGAAAAAGATTTTCAAAAACACATACAGAGCACGTGCATTTGAGTGAGTGAGAGAGAGAGAGAGATAAAAAACACAAACAAAAATGAGTGTGAGAAACATGAAATCAAAGCCAACATCAAAATAAACATCACTCACAAAAACAGCACACAGACAAACTATCTTATCTGTGTTTCGAACAAAACAACGACGGCACATATGACGATGAATGGGGGAAGAAGGCAGAGAGTGTACCATCGAGACACGAACATAGAAGCATTTTGCGGCACATTATGTAATATATTCATGCGTGTATCGGGTTTAGTGCTTAGAAGAACATGCCGATTTATATCATCGGTTGACTCTAGCACACAGCGACAACAACAAGATAGGAAAAGACGAGGAATACGAGAAAAATAAATGGTGCCACAAATACCACTTTTACGCACAACAAACGAGGTAGATGCATAGATTGGCAGTAGTGGCGACGAATGCTACTGAATTTGGCAGCAAATCGGGACAGACTTCATGCTCCAACGAGCAGAAAATTAATTATTTAATAAATGAAACGAAATGCGCGAAATGAAAAACAATCATCATCATCACCGTCATCGTCATTATCATCGAAAGTTGGAAAAGAATGAAGAGAAAGAGAGACAGAGAGCCAGACCCAGAACGAAAACCAAGCGATATACTTGTGTTGTTGCCGCTTTGTATTATGCGCCACAATTTCTTTAGAGAGAGAGAGAGAGAGAGAGAGAGAGAGAGAGAGAGAGAGAGAGA